GAAGTTCGACAACGGGCGCCGGGAACGGTGACGCACTACGTCTGGGCGCTCGCGCCGTCTGGACGTGTGCGCGATGTGGGCGAATGGACGGGTGAATCGATCGGGACGGGAGACGGCGCTCGCGGCGCTGGCGCTCGGCGCGGCGCTCGGACGGCGGACGGGCTCGACGTGCGCGTTGGTGCTCGGTGGTGTGGCGATGCGGATCGGGGGTGGGGACGTCGGGGTGTTTGTCATGTGTCTCGCGTTCGCGATCGCGAGGCGGTTGGCGCGAGAGGTGGGGGAGGAGGTGTATTTCAGGCACTGGGGAGGCACCGCGGCGTGCGAAGCCGTGGCGTTGGCGATGACGGAGTTCGACGTGTTCGCGTCGTCCAGGGCGCGCGCGCGGGCGTTGGAGCGACGACGAGAGCTCGTGGCGAGGATTAAAAAGGTGGGTTAGCCGACCGATTGTGATTTAATGTAAAAGGATGTACTCACGCGGAACTGGACGCGCGTCGACTCAATTGGAGTCGATCGATTTGTACAACGCGTTCAAAAGGGTGACGCCGTACGCCGTCGCGAGTCCGTCCTTGGTATTTCCCGGACCCGCCATATCGAGATGGACCCACGCGGTGTCTTCGCGCGCGACCCAATCGGGGTGCAAGTGATTCGCGATGAACTGGCCAGCGCAGCTCGACTGCGCGTTGGCGCGATCGGCGACCGAGTTCTTCATATCCGCGACCTTGGACGCGAACTCGGATTTGAACATCTCCGGAGAATACGGAAGCGGGTGCACCAAATCGCCAGTGAGTTTACCGAGCTTAACGATGAGGTTCTCCATGTCCTCGTCGTCGGTGACGAGACCGGCGTGCTTTCGACCGGTGGCGATCATCTGCGCGCCCGTCAACGTGGCCATGTCGACGACGACGGACGGCTTACTCGTCTTCGCGACACCCGTGATGTAAGCCACGCCGTCCGCGAGAACGAGTCGACCTTCGGCGTCGGTGTTGTTGATTTCGACCGTTTTACCGCTCTTACCGACGAGAATGTCGTCGGGACGAATCGCTCCCGAACCCACCGCGTTTTCGGCGATGCACAAGACGAGATCGAGCGGCGTCTTGAAGTTGCTCTCGGCATCTTCGCGTACGATGGATTCGAACGCGCAGAGCGCGCCCGCGGCGCCGCCCATGTCCGTCTTCATGCCACACATTCCATCCTTTGACTTGATCGAAAGCCCGCCGGTGTCAAAGGTGATGCCCTTGCCAACAAAGGCGACGGACGCGGCGTTCGGATCCTTACATCCCTTGGGCGTGAAGCGCAGGTGCACGAGCGCGGGATCTCTTCCGTCTCGTGATGCCGCGCTTCCGACTCCTGCGAGACAGCCGTATCCTTCCTCGACGAGCTGCTTGTACCTCTTGATCTCGACCACTTCGACGCTCGCCCCGAGCTCGCTCGCGACGAGTTTGGCTTCGTCCACGAAAGCGCAGGGAGTCAAATCATTCGGCGCCGCGTCCACGAGCGCTTGACATCTACGCAGAGGCTTGGGTAACGACCTCGTCTCCGGTCCAGTCCACAGTTCGCCATCGACGAGAACGCCGATGAAGACGTCACCGTCCACCTTTGCGTCGCTCGCCGCGTACTTTTTCGCGTACGGCGGCAACGCCCGTCCGAGCGCGCTCAACGCGCTCGCCGCGTACGCCTCCATCTCTCTCGGCAACGCCACGACGCACACCGCCGTCCGCGTCTTACGATCCGCGATCGCCGACTTCGCGTTCGCCGTGATCGCGTGCGAAGAAATCGGCGAGTTATGCCTCGACACCTCCTGCGTCGCCGCGCCACCAATCGCCCATCCGTCAGTCTCATTCCACCACCCGCGTCCTCGTCCCGTTCGCGACGCCGCATCGCACCTCCGGCAAAGCCGACACCACCACCTCCGCCATCGCCGTCCCCTCTCCGAACGCCAACGCGCTCGTCTTCGTCGATCCGCCCTCGACGCGACGCGCGAGCTGATGAAACGTCTCTCGCCGCGTCGCGTCCTCGCCGAACACCCCGAGCGCCGTCGCCGCCTCGCACAGCGTCGACGCGCGTCCGCACACGAACACCTTCACCTCCGCCTCCGTCGTGGCCACGGCGACGTCCGCGAGGTCGTCGAACGTCCGCATCGTCGACGACGCGAGCCATCGCGCGTCGTGATGTCCATCCATCGCCGCGAGCGCGCGCGGCATCGCGCGTCGACCGCGTCCGAGGCCGCGGCCGAGGTCGCGACGAACGCGCGCGCGATCGGGACGTCGCGCGATCGGTCGCGACGACGTTCCCGTGGGCATGCGCCGAGGGATGACGCATCGATGCGGTCGATGCGATGCGTCGGCACCGCGCGACGCGCGATGCTTCCGGGGACGACGACGGCGACGGCGGTGAGGATGACGGCGGCGCGGCGGTGCGCCCCGACCGGCGCGCGAACGACGCGGTCGACGGGACGGCGTGGAAGGCACAGACGACGGGTCGACGTGGGCGCGAGGAAGCGATCGGCCGACGACGACGATGGGACGCGCGCGGTGGACGCGCGAACGATCGATGGCGCGCGCACGGCGACGTTGGCGCTGTCGACGCTCGCGGTGGTGCTCGCGATGGGTGGGATGGATGGAGACGCGGGCGCGACGGCGGCGGATAACGTCGGACGGGCGTTCGACGGCGGCGACGCGTTGTTCGACCTCGCGGGCGGGGAGGTGCCGTTCTGGGCGAACATGGTGAAGTACGCGCGATTTTCAATCTCCATCATGGTTGGGTTCGCGTACATGTTCGGTCGGCCGGTGGTGGCGCTGATGAAGAAGCCGCAGACGGCGGCGCTCGTGGCGCTCGCGGCGGGGGGCGGGTACGTCTTCTTCAAGTTTACGATTGAAACCATGCTCGGCCTGAACGACGTCGAGACGCTTTGATGATTTGATGATTTTTGTAAGCTACGGTTACACTCTATTCGACGTCTACGTCATCTATGAAACTATCGGCGCCGACGTCGACGCGCGGGTCGGCGTCCGCGCGGGCGACGCCGCGGGGGAGTTTGTCGTATCCTCGAGCGGCGTCGACGCGCGCGCGTCGTCCATCGCCGCGCGCCACGCGTGGAGGGCGCGTCGAGCGCGCGACTTCTCCGCGAACTCCATCGCGGCGTATCTCCGATGATTTCTCGCCGCGAAAGCCGCCCACGTCTGGAACGCGCTCGGAAGGAGGTACGCGTCTCGAAACGTCACCGCGAGCGCGTCGGTGTGCGCCGTCGCCATCGCCTCGAGCCGCCTCGCGCGGTCGCGCAGCATCAACCACGATCTCCACGCGCGCGCGAGACGATCGACGTTCGCCGATCGCGTCCGCGCCGCCCGCGCGCGCCACGCGTCGAACGCGCTCGCGCGCGTCAACTTCCGATGAAACGCAGCCGCGCGCGCGAGCTCTCGCGCGCGTTCGCGCCCCTCGGCGACGAATCCACACCACCGCACGAACGCCCCGCACGTCACCCGCGCGTCGTCGTGCGACACGGCGCGCGCGAATTCCGCGGCGTCGCGTCGTCTCGCCGCCGTCCGGACGCGCCACCGAATGAATTTCGTCGCTTGAATCCCTCGCTCGAGTCGTCGCGCCCGCGCCCAAACCACATCACGCCACGCCACGAACGCCGTCTCGACGACGCGCCGCGCCCGCGCGCGCGTCGTCCTCGACGTGAACGCTCGAACGCGCCGCGCGCGAATCGTCTCGCGCCGCCACGCATTCGTCGCCGCGCGCGTCGCCGCGTCGTCCCGCCACGCCCACGCCGCGCGCGCGCGTCCACGCCGCCGCGCGCGCGCGCACCACGCCCGCAGCGCTCGAACGCCGACGACGCGCGCGCGATGGGCGTCCGCGACCGCGTCCAGGGCGCGCGCGACGTCCACCAAAGTCACACCGAGCGCGCTCGATGCCGACGCCATCGGCATCGGCATCGAGGCTTTCGTTCGCCCGTCGTAACGCGCGATCGACGCGCGCGCGTCGACGACCACCGCCGGGGTCGAACGCGCGTCCACGGCCGCGGCGGCGGCGCCGTGGACGCGCGCGGGGGGTCTCGCGCGCGGGACGATGACGACGTGTCGGGTGTTTTCAACAATGTGTGCACCACCGCGACACCACCGTCGCGTGTTTTCAACACCAGTGCGCGCGTCACCATCGCGTGCGTCGACCACCGGTGTGCGCGTCGATAGTGCGCGTCACCATCGCGTGCGTCGACCACCAGTGCGCGTGCAACCATCGCGTGTTCTCAACAATGTGTGCACCACCGCGACACCACCATCGCGTGTTTTGAACACCAGTGCGCGCACTAGCGCGTCACCGTCGCGTGTTCTCAACAGCCGCGTGCGCATGGATAATGCGCGTCACCATCGCGTGCGTCGTTCACCAGTGCGCGCGCGACCATCGCGTGGTCGCAACGACGTGCGCACGACCATCGCGTGTTCTCAACACCTCGGTGTGTGCGCACCACCACTATCGGGTGTTTTGGACGACACGGATGACATATCGGGTGTTTCGGAGTCCCCTACCGACGAGTCCTGACTCGTACACGGCGCCATCTCTCGCCCCCGATCGCGCCCCCCGACCGCGACGTCCGCGCGCGCCATGGCCCCCGCGCGCGTCATCGCGATCGTGTTCGCCATGGACGCCGAGGCGCGGCCGTTGATCGACGCCCTCGGGCTCGCCCCGAACCCACGCGCGTTCGCGCGCGTCGCCGGCTCGGTGCCGATGCGATGTCACAGCGGCCGCACGGCCGAAGGCGCGGACGTCCACGTCGTGACGAGCGGCACGTGCGAACGACACGGCGTGTGCAACGTCGGTACCGTCGGTGCGGCGCTCTCGACGTACGAGACGTGCGCGAGCCTGAAGCCGGACGTGATCGTGAACGCGGGCACGGCGGGGGGATTCGCGAAGCGCGGCGGACGCGTGGGCGACGTCTACCTGGCGACGACGTTTAAGAATCACGATCGACGGATCCCGATCCCGGGATACGACGCGTACGGGGTCGGGGAGTACGAGGCGTGGCCGACGCCGAAATTGGCGGCGATGCTGGGGTGTAAACGCGGGACGGTGTGCACGGGGAACTCGCTCGACGCGACGGAGACGTGTCGAAAGTTGTTGGATGAACACGACGCGTGCGTGAAAGAGATGGAGGCGGCGGCGATCGCGCACGTCGCGCACTTGTTTAAGGTTCCCATGATCGCGGTGAAGACGATCACGGACATCGTCGATGGGCCGCACGCGACGCAGGAGGAGTTTTTGGCCAACCTCGCGAGCGCGGCGGCGGCGCTCAAGGACGTCCTCCCCAAGGTCATCGCCTTCATCGACGGTCGCGATATGAACGATTTATAATACTCCAACGCATCGTCTGTTGAATTTAAAACGACCGCGCGTCGCGTTCGATCACCGTCACGCAGGCCCCGCTCGTCCGCACTCGCCGACGCGCGCTTTTCAGCCGCCGCCATGCGTGATCGTCCACCCGACGCCCTCGACGTCGCCGTCGCCCTGCTCAAGAAGCGCGACGGCGTGGACAAGGTCCTTAAGCTCTTTCGCTACGCCACCATCTTCGCCGTGAGCGAGGCGAAACGAATGTCTCGAACCGCGAAGGATTCTTCTGGCGCCGAGTCTGTAACCGTCACCGAGTTCATTCGCGCCGGGACCGCGCTCGAACGCTCGATCGGGAGCGCGCGACGGGTCTATCGCGTCGGTAAGTTTCTTGGGAACGCGCAGGACCTGAGAGATGCGATCGCGGAGGCGGAGGCGAGTGGAAAACGTGGATACGGGAGGTTTCTGAACGCGGCGTGCGCGTGCGCGGCGTTGGAGGGCGCGTATTACTTCTTGGAGCAAGGCGTGTGGCTGTCGCGAGCGGGAGTGGTGATGCGCGAGCGAACGACGTTAGAGCGGTTGATTCGATGGAGCGCGCGGGCTGAAGTTGCGTCGTACGTGTTTTCCATCGCGTGCGCTTTGGAGGAGTATCGGGACGCGCTCGCGGAGGAAAAGGACGCGAGAGACGGGCTCGTCGCCGCGACGTCGAGGACGCTCGCGATCGGAGTCAAGAGCGAAGGTGATATCGATGATTTACAAGCACGTTTGGCGGGCGCTCTGAAGGCGAAGCGCGGGGCTATTCGATCGATATGCACGGACGCGGCGGATGCGACGTTGTCCGTGGAGGACGCGGTGGACGTCGAGGGGTTCGAAATCACCAACGAACGCTTCGTGAACGTCTTAGGACTCCTCACCGCGGTCTTGGACTTTAGTAGTAAGCTCGAGGACGCGGTGGATTCGTTCAATTAGGGATTTTGGGGGGATGTTCAAGCGTGTAAATTATTCTCACAAGACGATGACTTGGCGCGCTCACTTCTTGCCCGCGACGGCGTCCTTCCACGTCGAGCTCGCGCTGAACGACGGGTAGTCCGTCGCCGGAATCTTCAACGGCGCTCCCGTCATCGGGTTTCTCCCGTCTCGCGCCGCGCGCGTCTTTCGCGCGAACGTGCCGAACTTGGAGATGGCCACCTTGTCGCCGCTCTGCACCGTGGCGCCGATGACGTCAAAGCACGCGTTCAGCACTCGACCGACGCTCGCCTTCGTCTCTCCCGTCTCCGCCGCCACCGCATCAATGAGCGTCTTCTTGTTCAATCCCGACGCCGTGGCGTAGGACCTGCGACGTATCATCGAATCGTCCTCGTCAGTCGCGTCGCGCTTTCGATGGATTTTAAACGTCACCAAACCATCGCATCCGAACGCGTCGTCCTCCGTTCGATCCACCCCTCGTTCGCGCGTCGCACCGCGAGCGACACATCACCCTCGCGCATCGATCGCCCGCGCGTCGCCACCGCGCGCGCGCCGCGGTCTCGACCCACGCCCACGAGTCGTTTTCCCGCCCAATTGCACATTCGTCCCCCTCCCTCGCCGTCGCGTCCGTCGCTCGCCGCCTCTCTCTCTCGCGCGCGCTCGGTCGCGGCATCACGGGCGTACCTCACGCGCGACACCGCGCGTCGCCCGCGCGCGGCGAACATCGTTCGTCACGCGTCGTCGCGAAGTGTCGCGCGCGGTGGATGATTCGATGCGGGACATTTTAGCCGTCGTACTGTTCGCCCACACGACCGTCCGCGTCACCGAACCCTAATATATCACCCGCGCGTCGCGCGCGCGTCTCGTACTGTGCGTGGTGTATACGCTTTGTAATTCGCGCGGGAAAACGAATCGCGAAACAATCGCCATCGCCGTCGCCGCGAACGCCCATCGACCCCGCACTGCGCCGACGCATGCGCATCGCCGACGCGCGCGCGCGCACGGAGACCTCGCCCGCGCGCGCGCTCGCCCGCGCGCGGTCGAGCGTCGGCGACGCCGGGCGAGCGCGCGCGAACGAAAGTGCGCCGAGGACGCGGATCGAGGCGAGCATGATGATTCGCTCGCTCGCGCGACGGCGAACGGGGCCGTCGTCCACGCGCGTGGGGGGCGGCGCCAGGGTGCGGGCGGCGTCGGAGGGATCGGATGACGTCGGGACGTCGACGTCGTACACGTATCGGGACGACGCGCGGGAGACGCGACGGCTGGCGGCTGGGTTGTCTCGGCTCTCGTTGGGGAACGCGAACGCGAGCGGGGGGCGGACGTTCGCCTCGCAACCGGCTGCGATGTACGGGGACGATGGGATGGGTTCCGCGCCGGGGGGGGTGGGCGCGGACGTGCCGAGGATTCGCGGTGAGATTAAGCGCGTGACGTTTCACTCGAAGGACAACGGGTACACCGTGGCGCGCATGGAAGTGGATGGTTCGTGCGAGCTCCCACCGGGCGCGCTGGCGACGCCGAAGCGACGACGGAAGGACTCAAAGCCGACGCCCACGGTGACGGTGGTCGGGACGCTTCCGGGTGTGAGTGAAGGGCAGATGTTGGAGCTCGTCGGACAGTGGAAAGAAAACGCGAAGTACGGAGTCGAGTTCGTCATCACCGGCGCCCCGACCGAGTTGAAGCCGTCGAACGAGGATGGTATGTTGAGATATTTGAGTGGTGGCGCCTTGCCGGGGTGTGGGAAAGTCACCGCGCAGCGTCTCGTCGATCACTTCGGCGTGAATCTGATGGATGTGTTGAATTCGCCGGACGCTGCGAAGAAACTTATGAAGTGCGACGGAATCGGTCCCAAGACGGCGCAAAAGCTTAAAACGAACTGGGACGAGACGCAAGGAAAACGAGATGCGGCGGTATTCCTCGAAAAGCACGGCGTACCGCTGCCTTTGGCGCAGCGAGCGGCGGCGCAGTACGGTCCAATGACGGAGGACCTGATTCGCAACAATCCGTTTGAGGCTCTCGGATCGGTGAGAGGTGCGACGTTCCATCGCATAGACGCGCTGGCGTCTAAACTCGGTAAAGAACCCGACGATCCCGCGCGTTTGGGTGCGGCCATCATAGAAGTCTTGAGCGCCGCTGCGGTGAGTAGCGGACACGCGTACTTGCCGTGGTCCAAAATCGTCGACGGCGTCCGCACTTTGGTTGGACAATCCGCCATTATCGACGACGATAACATGCGTGCGGCGGCGGAGGCGATGCGTCGTAAGGGTGAAATACGCGTGCAGCGACTCCCAGATCCCAAGTCCCCTCCCGGCTCCATCGATCCGTTTGAGGGCGACTGGAGCACGGCGGCTCTGTATACGAGCGCCATGCATAGTGCGGAAGTCGCCGTCGCATCGGACTTGACGAATCGAATGAAGCGATCGAACATTAAGGTTGATTCTGCGCGCGTTGAGCGATGGCTCGAGGCGGCGGCGCAGAAAGAAGGCTGGCGCACTCTGAGTGAAACACAAAAGGGCTTCGTACGGGTTGCATTGGAGTCTCCGGTGACAATCCTCACAGGAGGTCCGGGGACAGGGAAGACGTTCGCAACGCACGTCATCGTGCGGCTTTGGCGCGCGATGGGCAAGAGTGTGGTCATGTGCGCCCCAACGGGCCGCGCGGCGCAGCGGTTGATGGAGATCACGACCGCGGGTCGCGACATTGTGAATCCCATCATGAGCTCGACGATTCATCGCTTGTTAGAGTTTAGAGCTACGGACGCGTTGGAGGGCATGGAAGACGACGGTCCTCTGCAAGCGCTGTCGTACAAGGGTAGATTCTCCCGGGACGCGAAGAATCCGATTCAGGCGGACGTCGTCGTCATTGACGAGAGCTCCATGCTCGATCTTCCGCTCGCCGCCGCGCTCCTGGCAGCGATACCCGCCAATGCGCAGGTTGTCTTTGTGGGTGACGCCGATCAGCTCCCTTCCGTGGGACCGGGCAGTCTCCTTCGAGATATGCTCGCCGCTCAAAGCGTGCCGAGTGTGGCGCTGACGGATATTTTTCGCCAAGCGGCGGCGAGTGGTATCGTACGCGCCGCGCACGCTATAAACGCTGGCGCATTCATCCCAGCGGATATCAAGGAGACGAGGTACGACGTGACCATGAACGAGCTCCGCGTCGTCGCCGATGCGATCGATGCCAGCGCACCGCCGAGTGATCCGGAACTCAAACCCGATTGTCTCTGGGTGAGCCTCCCAAACGAGTCGAACGCGAGCGTCGAAGCCGTCCTGGATCACGTCCTCAACGACGTCCTTCCGGCTCGAGGCTTCTCACCGAACGATTTGCAGGTGTTATCACCCATGCGCCGAGGCGTTGCGAGCACTGGAGCCCTGAATAGCTGGCTCCAGGCTTCCCTGAACCCGAGCTGCGACAGCAAGGCAGAGGTAACCGTAGGTAGCTTTTACGGCGATATCACCTTTCGAGAGGGCGATAGAGTGCTCCAGCAGCGCAATGATTACGATAAAGAGGTTTTCAACGGCGATCTCGGCACGATTCGTCGCATCAATGCAAACGATGGTAGTGCCATCGTGAGCTTCGGCGCCGACCTGCGAGAGATTCCGTACACTAAGAGCGAGCTTCGAGATTTGATCCCGGCGTACGCCATGACGATTCACAAGGCGCAGGGCAGCGAGTATCGAGCCGTCGTCCTCGTCATGACCAACGCCCACAGGCCTCTGCTCCGAAGAGAACTCCTCTACACGGGCGTCACGCGCGCCAAGGAGCTCCTCGTCGTCGTCGCCCCGAGATCCGCACTGTCCGTCGCGATCGAGACGCACGGCAAGGACAGCCGGTGCAGCGGTCTCGTCGACCGTCTCGCCGGGAGCGTCCGCGCGCCCCCGATGCGACCTCGATGAACCCTTTCTCCGCCGCCGAGCGCGGCAAAGGATTGTAAACCTTTTGATCGCGTGCTTTTCGCCCCCAAGTGATCGCGAAACGTCCGACCGTCGCCCACGACCCCCCTCTATCCTCCACCGGCGCCTCTTGTACGCGCGCACACTCAGCGCGCGCCTCGACCCCCCCCCGCAGTTCGCGTCGACGCGCGCCGCGACCGCGTCGACGGACTCGTCGACCGCGGATATCGCCGAGGCATCACCGCCGGGCGTCGATCGAACGCCCGAGCGTCGCACGCGAAGCGATTGAAGGTTGAACAGAGGCGAATTCTACGCCTTAACCGCGTGTGAACGACGAATGTCGTCCTGGCGCGCGCGATCGGCGCTCGCTCGCGCGGCGGCGCGGGTGACGTCGAATAAACAGGTCACGCGGGGGTTATACGCCGCGGATGCGAGCGCGGCGACGACGGTGGCGTTGCACGGGCGGGTTAACCAGAACGCGAGCGGGACGGAGGAACGGCGAGCGAGCCCGAGCGGGTCGACGGGAGGCGTCGACGCGGCGATCGGCAGAGGTGCGAGCGCTTCGACGAATTCGACGAAGGGACGGAAGTTGATCGATACGTTTCCGAAGGATGTTGTGGACGACATCTATCGAGGGAGCTTTCGAAGCCAGACCGGGGTGAGCCTGAAGTACATGATGGATTTCGGCGCGCAGCCGATTCACCGGCAGATGATGGTAAGCGCGCAGTTCTTACGAAACGAGCTTCCGGTACGATTGGCGCATCGCGTGGCGGAGTTGGAAAATTTGCCCTTCGGGTTGAGCGACATGTCGCAGGTGCTTGACGTGAGAGACTGGTACGTCGAGTCGTTCAGGGAACTGCGAAGCTTCCCAGAAATAGAGAGCATGGAGGACGAGGAAAAATTTACAAACATGCTCAAGCGCGTGATGTTGAGGCACGAAAACGTGGTTCCCATGATTGCCAGGGCGGTGTTGGAGCTTAAAGATCGTCTGTCGAAGGAGAAACCGAGAGAGTCGAAGCCGCAGATTCGACGGGGCGGCACGTACGCAACGATGGATTTGAACGAGTTTCCAGAGGTGCATCAATTCTTAGATGGGTTTTACATGAGTAGAATTGGGATCCGCATGCTCATCGGGCAGCACATCGCTTTGCACGAGCCTGCGAAGGATGGGTACATCGGAATGATTTGCACAAAATTGAGCCCGCTCGAGGTAGCCAGGGACGCTAGCGCGGACGCCCGGGCGATTTGCATGCGCGAGTACGGCGACGCGCCCGAGGTGGAACTCTTCGGCGAGGAGGATTTTACGTTTGCCTACGTCCCGGGGCACTTGCACCAAATGCTCTTCGAGCTTATTAAGAACTCGCTGCGAGCGGTAAGCGACAAGTACGCGGATAGCGATAAGACGCCTCCACCAATTCGGATCATTATCGCCGAAGGCGCGGAAGACGTGACGATCAAGGTAACAGATGAAGGTGGTGGCATTCGCCGAAGCGGTCTGGAAAAGATTTGGACGTATCTTTACAGCACAGCGCAAAGCCCACTGAAGGACATGGACGACGATTCGTCGGGTCCCACCGTCTTGGCAGGTTATGGATACGGTCTTCCGCTTTCAAGGCTGTACGCCAGATACTTTGGCGGCGACTTGCAAGTAATTTCGATGGAAAATTACGGCACAGACGCTTACTTGCACTTGAACCGCCTCGGAAACATGGCGGAGCCGCTCCCGTAATTCGTAACCAAGCTCGCGCCGCGCGTCGATTTTCAGACTAGAGTGTAACAGTAAGACCCGAGTTGGAATAACGTCTCGCGCTCCGTAATTACACGTATTGAAACTATAGTCTATCCGATGTGGTGGTCCGCTTGTCTCGTGTGAGTGAACGCCGCGCTAACAAAAACCGCGCGACGCTCCGATGATCAAGTCGAAGCTCGTAAAGGTGGACGTGTCTCTCAGCTGAGAGCGCTGATGTGGCCCTTCAGGCGCTGTTTTTGAGCGTCAGTGCAGTGATGCATGAGAGCACGAAGCAAGTCGCGCGGGAGCGAACCGTCGCGTCGCTGAATGGCGTTCACGGCGTGCTTGTCGAACACGGAGAACACCATGCCGAACGCTGCACCGAATGCCTTGTGCGTCGACGGCGAAATCTCAAGCAAATGAGCGCGTTCGAGCGACATCGCGAGCGCACCGACGAGAGCACCGGTGGTAGAACTACCACTCGTGAGCGGTGCGAGCTGTTGCTTTGCCTCGGCGAGGTCCAGACCCATCGCGACGGCGCCGACGGTACCCTCTACGGCGACTGCGTTCATCAGTTGGACAGAATCTGCCGCGGCTCGAAGGAGAGCCTCCGCGCTGGGGTTGTTGATCGCGTTCTTACCACCGATGAGCATACCAACGTTACGCAGGATCGCCCACACGAGCGTCGCCGCGGCGGCGGAACCGAGCGGGAACCTCGGCAGTGCGTCGGCCAAGAGAATTCTGCCCTTTGGAAGCGTGACGATGCGTTGGAACACGCCGTCGTGCTCTGCGCCCCCCGCGACGAGCACCGGAACCGAGGGTAAAAGAAGTGTGCTGATGAGGCCGTCCAACAAGAACGTGCGACGCTTCTTCAAGTCCTCCTCGCTCTCGCTCGGTCGGCCCTCTTCGAGTTGGCGATCGATGTCATCGACGTCGAGAAGTAGACACATGGAATCCTCGATCATGATGCGCGCCGCGAGAAGCGGTTCTTGCTCCAATCTGCGCTGCTCGCCCTCGCCGGACTGTTCACCGTCGCCCTTTGGCGCGCTGCTCTTGGACATGTCCAAAAGCGGCTTGGGCGAGCGAATATTTCCGAACGGCACCTTGCCGAGACCATCCAAGCCGGGAACAAACGTCACGGGTCCACGCGCTTCCTTCACGTGTGATGCGAGCTCGCGAAGGGCCTCGGGACAGAACGGCTCCTTGAGCTTCGACGGGTTGTTTCGACGGAGCCACGATTGGTAGAAATAATCGTGTTCGTACGCCGTGCGATCGTTCGGGTGCGTGGCGCTCCATTGGATGCGCAGAATGCCCTCTATCTCGTCGTTCGCCATGTACAAGCCGTTGTAATGCGGTCGTCCCCTCGGCCTTTGTTCGCGGGGTCGTCGTCCGACATCGCGCGGACGGTTTTCTTGACCCGCGGGCCAGTTACCCGGCGGCGGCGCGCGCACGCCCGGCATACCCGGCACGTCCATCGGCACCGCGTTCATCGTCGGTCCATCGGCCCACTCCGGAAGCGCTTCGCCGCGATAGGTCTGATTCGATCGTCGTTGATTCGGCGGCGGTCCCGTCATCCCCGGCGGCGGCGGTCCCATCATCCCCGGCGGCGGCGGTCCCGTCATCCCCGGCGGCGGCGGTCCCATCATCCCCGGCGGCGGCGGTCCCATCATCCCAGGCGGCGGCGGCATCCCACCCATCATCCCCACCCCCCCATCCGGTCCCCGCGGCGCCGTCGCCCGCGCGTACGCCTCCCGCTCGATCTCCTCCCGCGTCTTCGCGTTCACCGGCGCCCGTCCCAACGCGTTCGGATTCAACAAATCACTCGGTCGCAACAACGGCGCACCGTAATTCAAAGCCGCCGCCCGCATCATCGCCTCCTCCTCCCGCGTCGACGCGATGTACACCTCCTCCGTCTCCGTCCGCGTCGTCATCGCCGCGAGATCGTCCTCGAGCTCCCCCCCCAGCTCCCCCTCGAGCGAGGGATCGCTCGGCGCGTCGAAGAATCCACCACTACGCCCACGCCCACGTCCGTCGTCGTCGTCAGTCGCGTCGTCGCGCCGCGGGCACCCATTCGCGCCGTCGTTCGATCGCGCCGTCGATCGCGTCGATGCGTTCGCGTCGCGTCGCCCATCGTCCCCCATCGTCGCCGCGCGAGGCGACGCGCGCGCCCGGTCCTCGAACGCGCTCGGTGCGCACCTCATCGCGTCGGCGTCGGCGTCGCGACGCGCGCGCGCGCGCGTGTGTGTCGCATCGCATCGCGAGGGGGTCACGCACGAGTCATGACTCAGACACACACCCCACCCAGAGTGCCAGGCGCCCCATCGCGTCGACATCGCGCGACGCCGACGATGCCCAAGCGCAAGTACACCGCGTTCGACGTCGCGGCGTCCACGGCGGCGATACGACGCCTCGCCCTCGGGTGCGCGCTCGCGAACGCGCGCGACGTCGACGGCGAAGGCGGCGACGCGGTGATGATGACGTTCAATCGCCCATCGCGCGACGGCGACGGCGTCGAGTCGCGCGCGCGCGTGCGCGTGGTGATCGACCCGTCGTCGCGGGCGCACGTGACGTCGTACGCGCGCGCGCGCGATGGGACCCCGAGCGCGTTCGTGATGGCGGTGCGACGGGCGGCGCGCGGGAAAAAGTTGCGGGACGCGCGGCAGTTGGGACGCGACCGCGCGATGGATTTGACCTTTGGCGCGGGCGACGGCGCGTGTCACGTCATCGTTGAACTGTTTGGACGAGGGAACGTGATCGTGACGGATGCGAATTATACCGTCGCGCGGGCGCTTCGGACGCGTCGGGACGACGATGTGAAGACGCGGGTCGAGGCGAATCAACCGTATTCGCTCGCGCGGTTTCACGCGTGGCGACCGTACGGAAAGGCGGATGTGGTCAGCGCGTTGGCCACCGCGCGCGTGGTCGCGGGTGATGGCGAGTTGGGGGTGGAGGATGTGACGGCGGTGGACGCGCGGCGGCCGGCGACGCTGCGCGAGGCGCTGTGTCGAGCGTTCGGGTACTCGCCGCCGATCGCCGAGCACGTCGCGCGCGCGGCGGGCGTGCTCGACGGATCGAACGCGGCGTTGCCGTTTGCGGACGACGTGCGCGAGCGGTACGTCGATGGGCTCACGCGCGCGATTGAGGACATCGAGAGCTGGTTCGAGGGGGTCACCACGGGGAAACGCGTCGCCGACGCGCCGAGAGTGTACACGAAGATGGACGCCAAGGCGGACGGCACGGATGAGATCGAGGTCGTGGATGATTTCGCTCCGTTTGAGCTCAAGCAAAACGAGGGACGGCGGACGAAGACGTACGAACTGCCGAAAGGTTTGGATCCCGCGCTCGCGTTCGATCACTACGTGGACGAGTACTTCAACGAACTCGATTCGCAATCCGTCATTTTACAACGTCGCAAGGCTGAAGCGCAGGCAATCGCAAGGCTCGAAAAGACGCTGCGGGATCAAAAGAATCGAGTCGAACAGCTCGAGCGCGAGCGCGAGCTGGAGGAACAGCGCGCGGTGTTGATAGAGTATAATCACGAAGCCGTGGACGTGGCCATCGAGGCGGTGAATTCGGCGCTCGCGAGCGGAATGTCTTGGGATGAGTTGGAGGCGATGATTAAGGAGGAGCGGCGACTCGGGAACCCGGTGGCGGGAATGATCAAATCCATGGATTTAGCGAATAACGAGATCACGATCACGCTGGAGAATCACCTTGACGAACTCGGCGAGGATGAGGACGCTTTGGGGAAAAAGAAACGCGTCGCCGTGAGCGTAGACTTAGGATTGAGCGCGCACGCCAACGCGTCGGTTCGATTCGCGGCGAAGAAAAAGAACGCGGATAAGTTTGAAAAGACGCTCAACGCCCAGAACAAGGCTGTCGCTGCCGCGGAGTCGAAGATGAAATCCGCGATGGAGCGCGCGGCGAACGTCGTCGTCGCTACGCGCGCGAGACAGCCGCTCTGGTTTGAAAAGTTTCACTGGTTCATCACGAGTGAAAACTGTTTGGTGATTCAGGCAAAGGATGCGACGCAGGCGGAAATGATTTTATCGCGATACGCCCTTCCTGGCGACGCTTTCGTGCACGCGGACGTGCCGCAGGCGCCGGTGACCGTCGTCAAGCCGCCGCCGGGATCGGACGTCAGAGCGGTGCCGGCGTACTCCCTCGTCCAGGCTGGCGCGGCTGTGATGTGCCGAAGCGGAGCGTGGTCCTCTCGCGCTGTAAAGTCGGCGTGGTGGATCCCGATCGAGCGCGTGAGCAAGATCTCTCCCGTCGCGGGCGATGCCTTACCCCCGGGAGTCGTGCACGTGGCGCACGCGGAGAAACAATTTCTTCCGCACACGCAGCTCGTCATGGGGTTTGGGCTCATGTTCGTCGTGAGCGAAAAGTGCGAGGAAGCGCACAAGAATGATCGTTTGATTCGAAGCGATTTCAATATTCTTTTAGATGAGGAAAACGAGGAAGAGGACGAAGAGGAGGAGAAGGAAATTAGCGGCGGCGACGATTCAGAGTCTGTCGAAAACGAGGATAAAGAGGTGGACAAGCTCGCAGCCTTCTTAGACGGTGCCGTGGGATTCGCGGGAGAGGGTGTGGAAGGAAAGGACAGCGACGACGTTGACGGTGACGATGACAGAGAGCGGGACGACGGCGGCGACGGCGTCGATGGCGACGCTGTGCGATATCGCGCGCCTCAAAAGGCGCAGCAACCGTCCTCGTCGGGACCTCGCATGTCCGCCAAGGAGCGAAAGGCACAGAAGAAGAAGAAACAAAATAGAAGCGGTCGCGATGATTCGGACGACGACGACGACGATTTCGTCGACCCACTCGCGGCGTTAGGGGGTGGGAACAAAAAGGCGGCAAACAAGGATCGCGCCGACGGATCGAGCGCCAATAAGCCTGCGCCGCGCGGCAAGGCGGCGAAACTCAAGAAGATCAAGGCAAAGTACGCAGACCAAGACGAAGAAGACCGTGAATTGGCGATGAAACTCCTCGGCGCCGAAGGTAGGAAAAAGTCTGCCGGAATGACGAAGAAAGCCGCGCGAATGAAGGAAAAGGCGGCGAACGATTTCGAGGAGCGAAAGCTCACAAAGCCTCAGGTCCCGAGCGCCCCGGAGCCGGCGCCGCCAAAGTGGAAGAGAAATGAGAGCGCCGCCGATATGAGCGCCGACGTCGACGTAGGCGAGGCCCAGCCCAAGGTCGAGATGCCGCTCGAGGAGCGATTGAAGATTGAGTCGGAGCGACTCTCGATTATCAATCGAATCGTCGCCTTCCCGCTCCGCCACGACGAGATCGAGTACTGTCTCCCGGTGTGCGCCCCGATCGCCGCCACGAACGGTCTGAAATACCGCATGAAGGTCACCCCGGGCGCGCAAAAGAAGGGCAAGGCGGCGAAACTCGCGATGGACATCCTTCTCCGCGCCCCGTTCGCCACCAAGGATGAACTCGCCGCCGCGCGTCTGGTAAACGACGCCGACACCGCCGTGTCTGCCTCCCTCCGGCTGCAAGATCTCCATGCCACCCGGTGCGGCGAAGATTCTATCTCAAAATCGTGCCGTCGGCAAGGCCAAGGGCAAGAAGTCCAAGCGATGACGCCGACGCGTCGTGTAACGATTCGCGACGATTCGCCTCGCGGCACTGCGCGCCTCCGATCCCACACGCGTCCCCCGATGTCGCTCGCGTCGTCGTCCGCGCTCCGCCCAACCACCTCGGCGCCGTCGCGCGCGTCGACGCGCGAACGCGTCGTCGATCGCGCGCGCTCGACGTCGATTCGTCGTCGTCTCGCCGTCTTATCCACGACGAATGAAATCTCAACGCGCGCGCGACGGACGTCCGCGCCGCGCGCGCGCGCGCGCGCGTCGGCACTCGCGGACCCGCACGGGTTGAGCCCCGATCGCGCCGCGGTCGTCGGGGCGGATCCGGAGGCGTACTCGTGGACGAAACAGTGGTACCCGGTGGCGGTGTGCGACGTGCTGGACGAAACGAAACCGCACGCGACGCAATTACTCGGGGTGGACTTGGTGGTGTGGAAGAATGGTACGGGAACGTGGAGTGTGTTCGAAGATAAGTGTCCGCACAGGATGGCGCCGCTGACGGAGGGGCGAGTGGAGAGCGATGGGACGTTGTTGTGCGCGTATCACGCGTGGCGGTTCGACGGCGACGGGAACTGCACGGCGATGCCGCAGGCGTCGAGCGCGGAGGAAGAGGCGAGAGTGAAAGCGAACGAGAAGTCGTGCGCGTTCAAGCGGCCGAGTATGGTGGCGCAAGGGTTGGTTTGGGCGTGGGGTGAGAGCGGGCCGGAGGCGGAGATGGAGAGCGCGATGACGCCGCCGCTGCTCGTGCCAGAGATTGACGGCATCGGTAAGAGCGGGCGCGCGGCGTGCGGTGGATTCAGAAACCACTGGCAGGTGCGGGATTTGCCGTACGGGTGGAACGCATTCTTCGAGAACGCGATCGATCCCGCGCACGCGGTCGTGAGCCATCACACGCTCGTCGGGTCGCGATACGACGATCCTGCGGGTTTCCAGTGCGTCGTCGAGCGTCCTGTCACCTCGGCCGGTGGGTTCCGTTGCGCCATCGATCCCGCGGTACCGCCGTTCAACACGATCGGGAAGTACGACGCCGAGACGTCGTACGATTTCCAACCGCCCGCTTTACTCAAGATTGACTGGCGACACGAGGGCGGCCGATTCCTCACCTCGCACTACTGCACGCCGACGCGACCGGGCTGGTGCCGGCACTTTGTCGTGACGATCGCGCAGAGACGTCACGAAAAAGGTGACGCGATTCGTCAGCACCGCTGGTTCAAGTTGAACCTGTTCACGCTCACCTCCCCAGCCTGGCTCACGCACGTGTTGGGGCCGACGTTTTTACACCAAGACATGGTTTTGTTGCACCAGCAAGAGAAGATAATCGCGCAAGGGGAGGGGCAAAAGTTGGCAGAAAAATGGAAGGAGCAGGTCTTCACGCCCACGACGGCGGATAAGATGACCATCTTCTTCTACAAGTGGTTTGAGCGTAACGGGCCGATTCCTTGGGTCGGCGACGCGTCGATGCCGCCCATCGAACGCGACTCGAGCAAGCTCTTTGACACGTACGAGATGCACACCAAGTACTGCACGCACTGCCAAGGCGCGCTGCGGAACACCGAGATCGCGATGTACGGTACGGGCGCGGTGGCGGTCGGAAAATTGTTCTGGGTATTCGCGTCCGTCGTCTACGCGAGCGCGGCGCTCGGGGCGGCGACGAACGGCGGCGCGGGATTGAACGCGCTCGAGTTGGTAAAATCCCTCGACGGGAGCGTGTACTCTGATTTGTTTTCATCATTTAGTCTCGGCGCGACCGCATTCTTCTTGTGGGGATTCGCGCAAATGTTCCGAACGTACCCGTTTTCGCACTCCGAGGACGACATCGTCATGGAGGGAACGGCGAAGATTGGTCTGTCGAACGACGGTCCGAGCGCGTACATCGACTTTGTGGATCGAACGCTCTTCGACAGGAGCAAAGATTCGAGCCAAGGGCACAACCGCGGGTGCGAGTGCTCGACGTGCTCGCCGCACTTTAAGGATTTGATTAAATCCACGATGCTCGCCAGGGCGAAAAACGGCGAGGCGGAGACGGAGACGGAGACCAAGACGGAGGAAGTTCCGGTTATTTCGCGGTAATTTCGATCGATCGCACGCTCTCGAAACTTTAATTCATTAAACAAACACGCGCGCTGTTTCTCGAAATGTGTTCGTGACGCGGCGACGTGGACGTGGCATCGGGTGTGGTATCGGTGGGGTGTCTTGAATGGTCTTGGCGTTCGGCGCGAGGCGTCGAACGAAATCACTTCGCTCACTCGTCGTCGTCGTCGTCCTGATCCCACTGTCGCTCGACGTCCTCGACAATCTTATCCAAATACGGTCCAGCCTGCCAACACGCGTACGCGCTCGCCCCGAGGAAAACCGTCGCGTCGAGCAATCCCGGAAATCGCAGCACCGCGAGCACGATCGTCGCCGCCAACGCGGTGACGATCGCGAGCGAGTACCCAACCACCGCCGCGCTCTCCCCCGCCGGTTCCGCGAGCGAGATCAGCGGTCGCAACCACCCCGGCGCGGGTTTCGACGCATCCGGGGGCGTCGCGAGCCGCTCGATCATCGACTTCGCATCCTCCACGCCGCCCGCCCGCGCGCGCGTCCACCGCGTCACCCGCGTCGACGCCCGTCGAGTACCGCGCGTCGACCGCGCCGTCGTCACCGCGACCGCCGCGAGGGATGCGCGCGCGATCGTCGTCGTCATTCGAACGTCGCCGAACGTCGTCGTCGTATCTTCCCCGGGCGCCAACGGTCGCGGTGTGTCGCCACTTCGTGCGGCGTCACGTACACACGTCGTGAGGGACTTTGTCGAATCACGACTCAGTATCAACGCACACGACGAATATTTCGTGCCCCGTACGTTTCTCAAGACGACGTGTCTCGATTTCGTGGGTCGATGGAGTCGCCACATCGTCCTATATACGGGGTCGTAGCTCAATTGGTAGAGCGCGCGCTTCGCATGCGCGAGGTACCGGGATCGAAACCTGGCGACTCCATTTTTGATAGTATTTATTCTTCATTAAATACACATCAAATATCCTTGCGAAGGCTTTTAATTTTTAATCAAAGAGCTTGCATTGAATTCTCCACGTCGCGCGCGCGAGTGCGCGTCGAATACGTGTCCGACGTTGTCGTGCGTTCCACCCAGCGCGCGCCCGGGGCTTTCGAGCACGCGACGGGGAGCGTCGGACGCCGAGCGGCACACCCCGCCGTGATGCGTCCGCGTCGGACGCCGAGCGGCACACCCCGCCGTGATGCGTCCGGGGGCGACGCGATGCGAACGCGCGTCATCGACGTCGGCGACGAAGCGGATGCGGCGCCGCGGCGACGAAGTGTTGTGCAATAGATTTCTAGAAACGACGCGTCTAACGCGAAAAGTCCTATGGTTCATCTCCGCCGTCGTGATCGTCTCCGCGCTCTAACAGTACCCTGTTTAGAAATTCCACGATGGCACCGGACCACTTTTCGCGAATGTGCTTGACGATGTCGTAATCCTCCTTGTTCGAAGCGATGACCAACTCGGCGTGCGGGACCAAATCCTTGATCGTCATCGCGCTCGAGACTGGGTGCGTGACGTCGCCGCAGTCCCACGCCAAACATAAGACGGGCACGTTCGCCAGCGCCGCGCGCACGCGCTCGGGTTCGGGGAGGTTCGACTGCGCCGAGCCGATCAACACCTCCACCGCGCACGAGTCGTTCGGATTGGCCAACGGCGGCGGCGCCGGATCCACCGGTTGATCCCGCGCGGCCTGGAACACGCGTCGAGGCGCGGTGGAGTTTTCTATCGCACCGCCGTCGGCGACTTTCTTCCTGAGCTTTTTTTTCCTCGACTCGCGCTCTTCGTAACACGTCGGCGGCGTGACGACGACGAGCGCCTTTGGCACGTCGCTCTCGTTGCTCTCGTGCGCGAGCACGGCGGCCCAAATCGCCGTCGCGCTTCCCAGCGACGTTCCGGCGTACACGATATCGCCGCCGTCGTCCTGACGAATCCGTCGCGCGACCTCGATCATGTCGCTCGCCCTGGCGTCCCACCTCGCCTCTCGCGCTCGGCGCACGTCGCTCGATTTCCCGTACCCTCTCGCGTTGTATCGCGCCACGGCGATCGACCCGAGATCTTCCGTGGACCAAAAGTTCCACAACCCCTCCTTATCATCGTTCCACAGATGTCCTCGCATACCGTGTCCCCAAACCACGAGCGGTCTCGCCCGTCTCGCCGGCCGTCCGTCTCGTTCCCTCGCCGGTCGTCCTCTGACATCCGCCCCGACATTCGTCGTGCACATCTCCAGCTCCCCCCCGTCCTCGCACACCGCCACCACTTCGTGACAAAAATCAAATTTACCGTACCTCTCACTCCGCACTCGCGTCGCTCGCACCGGTCCGCGCACTTTCCCATCCCACACCTCGCTCGCCCGATGCGCCGTCGCCGCCGCGAGCGTCGCCGCGTCCTCCGCCTCGGATTCATTCGGGACGTCGTCCGCCTCCTCCCGCAATCGCAGCGCTCTGCGCGCGACGAGGACCGCTCGAAACACATCATCCGCCACCCGTCGGTCCCGTCGTCGCGGCGTCGGCGGCGTCGTCGTCGTCGGCGTCGTCGTCATCAATCGCGTCGACGCGTCGACGCGTCGCATCGCGCGCATCGTCGACGCGTTCGGCTCCCGTTCGCTCGCGTGCGCGTTCGCGTCGATCGTCACCGCGCGGGCGAAGAGTTCGAGCGCCTCCGCGTCGGGGCCGCGCGGTGGGGGCGGCGGCGACGGCGCCGCGGGCGCGCTCGCGCGCATGTGTGACGCGTCATCGGTCGTTGGGTGCGGGCGTGGAGGCGGACGCGCGAGACGGAGCGAGGCGACGGTCGAGGACGCGCGCGCGGGCGATCGAACGAATTTCGGCGATAGAAGCGGTGATGCGCGCGTGCTTACCGCGTCGACGGCGAGCGACGTAAACGCCGACGTCGAGGTCGTTCGAGGCGATGGACTACGCGAGAGCGACGCGTCTGGAGGCGAATCCGACGGCGACGCGAAACGCGCGGACGCTCGCGCGCGAACTCAGACGACGCGCGGCGGCGCTCGCGATGGACGCGGCGCCGCGACGCGTGGTGGTGGATGCGCCCGATGGTTTCGTCGAACGACGACCGGCGGCGACGCCGTGGGCGCTGGCGGAGACGACGCCGCAGTCGCCGACGACGACGTCGGCGGCGGTTTCGCCGCCTCGACTGCCGACGGATTCGATCGCTCGAACGACGCTCATGCCATCGATGACTTGCCCGAACACGGTGTGCTTACCGTTTAAAAACGGCGTCGCCACGGTACAGATGAAAAACTGCGAGCCGTTGGTGTTCGGCCCCGCGTTCGCCATGGATAAAATACCCGGACCGAGGTGCTGGAGCGTGAAATTCTCATCCGGAAACGTGCGTCCGTAGATCGACCGACCGCCCGTGCCGTTATCCGCCGTGAAATCACCACCCTGGCACATGAACTGCGGGATCACTCGATGAAACCGCGATCCGAGGTATCCCTCGCCCTCGGGCTTTTCGCACAGCGCGCGAAAGTTTTCCGCCGTCTTCGGCGCGACGTCCGCGCGCAGCTCCATCGTCACCCGTCCCAGCTTCGTCGCCGACGATCCGCGACCGAGCTGGATGTCAAAGTACACCTTGGGCGTGTCCTGCGTCTCGTCGGTCGTTCAAGTCGCGTCGTCAGTCACGCGTCGTCGAGCGCCGTGACGTTGGATCATTCGTGACGTGGCACGTAATCGCGATCGACATCGCGTCCGCGATCGACATCGCGCACCGCTCTGGGCGCCCCGAGCGGACACTCGTACGCCACGGGCGTCTGCGCCAGCGCGCGAACCTCCTCGGGGTTCATCGTGCTCGAAGACGCGCCCATGGGCGTCGTCAAATGTCGTCAAATGTCCACGCGGGACGATTTGTGCGCGTTAAAACGCGCGCACGCCCTCGCCGCGCGCGTCGAACCGTGCGCGAACGCGCGCTGCGCGTGCGCGACGTGTGTGTGCGGGCCCGCGTGCGAGTGCGGGATCCCGGGCGTGGACGACGCGACGCGCGTGACGTGTGAACCGTGCGTGGCGTTCGTGAAGGAACGAATGAAAACGACGACGACGACGACGATGACGACGACGACGACGACGACGTGAGGCAGACGCGAGCCATGGAGACGGACGCGCGCGTGGAGGTGCTGTTTCGAGGGAAAACCGCGCGCGTGGCCGTGGGCGATGGGTTCGCGGCGGCGACGCGAGAGGCGTTCGCGAATGAACTCGGGACGACGCGCGCGGACCGCATGACGTTTCTCGCGTCGGGCGGCGTGAAAATAAGAGGCGACGCGAGCGATGAGGCGTTTAGGAGACTGATTGGGAAGCGGAAAGTGATGCTCGTGGTCGGTGATGCGGGGTCGGGGTCGAGGCGGGAGGCGGGCGGGAGGTCGAGGGGCGCGGAGGCGCTTCGCGAGGCGCGCGAGGCGCGCGAAACCGCGCGGAAACGACGCGAGATAGAGTCAAGGGGTGAACGACCGGTGACGACGAGCGATCGATCGAAGGCGTGGGCGCAGACGGGGATCGTGGGCATGCGTGAGATCGGTGCGACGGCGATAGATGAGCGCGTGTTCGCGCTCGGATCGAAAGTTCGAGTGCTCGATTACGGCGGCAACGCGTTGACGTCCGTCGGCGCGGCCGAGAAAGTGGCGCTCTTGACCGAGGTCTCGCGAATTGTTCTTCGTGATAATGCTTTGGGGTCGTCGGGATCGATGCCCTGGAACGCGCTCGCGCGCGCGTCTCAGAGTTTGACGTTTCTCGATTTGAGCGGGAACCCAAATCTCGGCGCGTCCATGACGGGGTTCGACTCGACGATCGTCTTCTCGTCGCTTCGCACGCTCAATCTCTCTCGGTGCGGATTGACGAATGCGTGTTTAGTGTCGTTTTCTTTCCCGACGCTTCGCAACGCGTGCGTCGCCGAGAACGCCCTCGCGGAGGCGCTTCCAGAATTCGCCGACTCGGAGCACCTCGAGGTGCTCGACGCGAGTCAAAACGCGATCACGTCGATTCCTCCGAGTTTCGGCGCGATGCACCGAAAGTTGCATTCGTTAAATCTCGCTCGAAACGCCGTTGAAGCCCACGGCGTTCCCGCGTCGTTCCTCGCGAACGCCGAAGCGCTCGTGGAGTTTTCGCTACACGACAACCCGTTGTCCACCGCGGCGTTTCGAGAGATTGAGGGCTACGAGTCGTTCGACGCTCGGAGAAAGACGCGCGCCTCCAAGGCACTGGATGCTAAAGTCATGCTCTCGAAGAGCGTTTTCGACGAGGGCATCGATGCCGATCGGTTCGAGCGCTTCACGTAAATAGCTCGACGGTCCATAACGTTGGACCAACGCTTCCGGTAGACGGGTAAACGTAAGAGTAAAGCAAACCGCACCGTAAGTGTATTACAAAATTGTCATGGTAGAATTCGTTTATCGCGCCTCGGCAGCGACGATCTCTTCGTCATCGCCGAAGAAGGCGTCATCGGGAATCTCTTCCTCTTCCTCGGCGACGGGCTTGTTCGAGAGACCGGCCATCTTCTCAGCCACCTTTCGGCGAACATCCGCTTCGATGGTGCCCTTCACCGGGAGGTTTTCGTCCAAGAACGCGAGCGTCTTCTCGCGGCCTTGGCCGAGCTTTTCACCGTTGTAGTAGTAATAAGCACCCTTGCGGTCGACGACACCGACTTGCTCGCCGGCGTCCAGGAGGCAGCCGTCCTTGGAGATTCCGCGGCCGAAAAGCATGTCAAACTCAGCCACCTTGTACGGCGGTGCCACCTTGTTCTTCGCCACCTTGACCTTGCATCTCACGCCGAGGTCGTCCTCGCCGCTCTTACCCTTGATGACCTCCTTGCGTCGAATGTCGAGACGAACGCTCGCGTAGTACTTGAGCGCATTGCCGCCCGTCGTCACCTCCGGGCTTCCGTAAATCACCCCAACCTTTGAGCGGAGCTGGTTCAAGAAGATGATCGTCGTTCCAGCCTTGGCGGCGTTGACGTTAATCTTTCTCAGCGCCTGAGACATCAATCGTGCGTGCGCACCGACCTGGACCATGCCGATCTCGCCTTCGATTTCGCTTCGCGGCACGAGCGCGGCGACAGAGTCCACGACGATCAAATCAACAGCCGACGATCGCACGAGCGTGTCCACGACCTCGAGCGCCATCTCGCCCGTTTCTGGCTGACACACGATGACATCATCCAGGTTCAACCCCAGTCTCGCCGAGTACTCCGGATCGAACGCGTGCTCCGCGTCGATGATTGCCACCGTACCGCCGATCGCCTGCATCTCCGCCATCGCGTGCAGCGCCAGCGTGGTCTTCCCCGAGCTCTCTGGTCCATACACCTCAACGATACGTCCTCTCGGGAGTCCACCACCGAGCGCCATGTCCAGCGTCAGCGCCCCGGACGGAAACGTCGCCACTTTCGCCTTGCCAGCCTCGCCCAGGCGCATGATCGCGCCCGCGCCGAAATTACTATCAATCTCATCCAGCACGCGTTGCAGCGCCTTCTTCTTCGCGTCTGGCGAGCCAGATTTCGCGTCATCCGCGTTGCTCGCCTTGCTCGCTCGCGCCTTGGCCATGACGACCCCACCGCGCGTCGTCGTGAGCGTTCGCGCGACCATTCGCCGCGAGCTGTCGCGCGATTGCGCGCGCGTCGTCGTCCGTCGTCCGTCGACGCACGCGATGGACGCGCACGCGGCGACGCGCATGTCGAGATCGAGCGTTTGCGCGCGACGTACACCGGTTCCGAACGCTTTACGGAGCGTCCTCGCGAGCATGCGAGGGCGTGTGACGATCTGAGAGATTTAAAAACGTGAAAAACGCGGGAAATCCAGTGGATGGCTGGACGCGACGGACGCGACGGCTCGCTCGCTCGCTCGCTCGCTCGCTGTTACAAGAATATCGTGACGCCAAATCGCGGCAATTTACTCGGGCTTGTAGTAGGTGGTGTTCACGAAGGGCATCTTTGACGTCACGGCGGCCGTGCGCTTGCCTCGCGTCTCGACCTGGACCTCGGTGCCCGCCTTGGCGAACGCCTTGGCGACGTAACCCATGGCGATGTTCTTTTGGAGCACCGGGGAGAAGCCACCAGAGGTGACCTCACCGATGGTGTTACCGTCCATGTCGAGAATGATGGAGTGCTGGCGAGCGGGGGCGCCCTTACCGGTGAAGGTGAGGCCGACGCGTCGCTGCGGGATCGACGCCGGGTTCTCGAGCTGCTTCTTGATGATCTCGCCGCCGACGAAGTCACACTTCTCCCGACGCGCCTTGCCGATGGTCCACGTCAAACCAGCCTCCGGCGGGGTGATATCTTCGTTCAAGTCGTTACCGTAGAGGCAGAGACCGGCCTCGAGGCGGAGAGAATCTCTCGGACCGAGCGCGGCGAAGCGAACTTCGGGTTGGCCCTCGAGCGCCTCGGCGAGCTTCACCGCGTCCTCGTTCGGGACGGAGATCTCGAAGCCGTCCTCGCCCGTGTAACCGGTACGAGTCACCCAAACCTTACCACCGTTCACGGTCATCTCCGTGAACATACCGAAGTAGAGCTTGGAGAGATCGAAATCGGTGAAGCGCTGGAGCACCTCCATCGTCTTCGGGCCTTGAAACGCCAAGAGCGAACGGTTCGAGTGCACGATGAAATCAACATCCATACCGTTCGCCTTGGCCTTGGCCAAGTGGGCGTTGATGTGCTTCTGATCCTTTTCCGCGCATCCGGCGTTGAGCACGACGTAGTAATCGTGATCGTTGATCTTCGTGATCACCGTATCGTCGATGATCCCGCCCTTTTCATTCGTCATCACGCTCAGCGTCCCCGTGCCGTTCTTCAACCCCTTCAGGTCCGCGACGACGAGAGATTCCAAGAACGCCGTCGCATCCTTCCCCCTGATGCTCGACCCAAGCATGTGCGACACATCAAACAACGACGCGTTCGTCCGGCAGTGCTGCGTCGCCTCCATGATCGAGTCTCCGTATTGAATCGGCAGCGCGTACCCGGCGAAGTCAACCAACTTTCCACCGCGCGCGACGTGCACGTCGTACAACGGCGTGCGCTTCAGCGCGCTCACGTCCGCGTACGCGCGCGCGTACGCCGGCGTCACGTCCGGCACCAGCGCTCGCACCGCGCGCGCGCTCGACGGACGCGCGACCGCGCATCGCGCGTGGCGACGCGCGGCATCGACCACGAAGCGACGCATCGCGCGTCTCGGACGTCTCGGACGTCGACGACGCGACGATTCGAGCGCTCGACGACGGGGGCGCGCGCGTGGGAACGGTCGCGTCGTCGACGGTGCGGTCGGCGGGGACGACGGGCGCGGAGTGGGGGTGGAAAGTGAGCGGGCGTGACGTCGATGGATTATCCAAAACGACCAGAGGGGGCCTCTCGGGACGACGGCGCGGGCGGACGCGCGGAGACGGTGGAGGGAAGGGTGGGACGGTGGATCGGTGCGGTGACGCGTGAGATTACAACGTGCAGTGTTTGGATAATACGTCCGCGGCGGACGGACGATCGAGGGGGATGGGCGACATCATGGCGACGCACAGGGCGTGGAGCGACGCCGCGACGGCGCCTGTCGGCACGACGCCTTGGCGAAGCGCTTGATAATCCGATCCGTGCGAGGGCAGAGAGGTGCCGATGGCGAGCTCGTAGAGAGATGCACCGAGAGAAAAGACGTCAGAGCGGTCCAAGTTGTCGAAATTATCGTTCAAGAGCTCGGGTGGGAGGTATCTGGCGTCGCCCTCGTCCACGGCGCTCGAGCGGCGCGCGCCGCTGAGCTGCGTCGCGCGTCCCCAGTCTCCGAGCTTGAATCCCTCTTTGCAGATGAAAATGTTGTCTGGTTTGACGTCCATGTGCGCCAGACCGCGATCGTGCGCGAACGCGAGCGCGGTGGAAATGTCTCTCAAACATCTCGCGAGCTGCGCGTCGTTCATGCGTTCGCCGTCCCGAGAGTCCACCATTCTCGACGCGCACCCTTCTTCGCAGAGTTCCATGTGAATGTACAGGTGGTCGTTCTCCCACCACGCGCTGTGATATCGTACAATTTGTGGGCACGTTACCAGGCTCGCCATGACGTGCACCTCGCGCAAAGCCTCCGATCGATCGCGCTCGTTCTTCAACTGCTCCGACGTGCGCTTCAACGCATATTGGCACCCGTCCAGGCGTCCGATGACTTTGTGTACCTTTGAGAATCCCCCACGAGCGATGCAACCGAGATCGACGAAATCGACGCGAAATCGCGACATCGTCGCCAACTGCGCCGCGCTCGTGCAATTCGCCCGTCGTCCGTGCGCGGTGTGCTCAGCCGGTTGCTCGCGGTCCGGCAGAAACGCGTTTCGAGCGCACGGCGGCGACGTCGCGGCGCGCGGCAACCCCGACCTCGCCCCCCCCCCCCGACTCGGCTCACGATTTCTCGGCACCCTGAACCCATTCCCGAACTCTCCCTGCGACTGACTCGGCTGCGTATTCTCCAACGGCTGACTCGCGTACCCGAACTCTTGCGTCCCCTGCGACAACCCGACGTCCAATCCAAATCTCGGTCGTTTATTCCTCGTCGGCGACAACGCGCACGGCGATCTCGCGCCTCGAAAGTGTCCGTGCGCCCCCCGGGCGTCCCCCCCCCCCATTCCATCGTATCCCGCGTACGCGTCGAACTGCGCGTCCGCCGGCGTGATGAAATCCGGTCCCCCGTGCGACCCGCCTTGCGTCATCGTCTCACCCTGCGAGTTCGTCCCATTCGCGGAGGACCATCCGTGCCCTTGACTCTCCGACGCGAACGCGCGCTCGATCCGTCGCGTCGTCGCGATGCGTCCATCACGGTCGTCGTCGTCGTCGACGTCGTCGTCGTCATCCACGTCGGTCGGTCTCGCGTTCGACGCCCCGTCGACGTCGTCGCCGACGCGCAACCCGTCCAGGGCTCTGGAGAGCCCGCTCGAGGGGGTGCACAGGACACTGCGCGATTTCAGTCGCAGCATCGCGCGCGCGTCGCGCGGCGCGGGGCGTCGACGAGGGCGCGCGCGTGGGATTCAAAAATCGTTGAATTCAAAAATCGTTGGTTTCAAAAATCGACCGAGGTAAATGTCGCGTGTGGTGTATACATGGGCGTGATCATGGTACAGTATGGCCACATGTCTGTGCTGTGCATACATGGGTGTGTCGGATGTACAGTATGAAGACAGACTCTGTGCGGTGTATACATGGGCTCGACAGAGACACACTATAGTGTGACGGACGCCATCGACGCCATCGACGCCATCGACGCCATCGACGCCGACGACGCGACGACGCGACGATGGCGCGCGCGCGCGAACGCGCGACCGCCGACGCGACGGGCGTGGGCGAACGCGCGCGGGCCGCGGCGACGCGCACCGCGCTCGCGATGGCGATGCTCGCGATGACGATGGGCGCGATGACGACGACGACGACGACGACGACGACGACGACGACGACGACGCGCGGGCGCGCGCGCTTGGTCCACCCGACGACGCTCTCGACGAAGACGGACGACGGCGACGGCGGATGGCGACCGTGGGCGAGGCGACGGAGGATTTGGTTGAGCGTCCTCGGCGAGGCGTTCGACGTGAGCGCGGGACGGACGTATTACGCGGGCGACGGGGCGTACGCGACGTGTTTCGCGGGACGCGACGCGACGCGGGCGTTTGGTACGGGGGATTTTAGCGAGAGTGGGTGCGTGGAGGACGTGCGCGGGATGACGCTCGGCGAACTCGCGGGGGCGCGACACTGGCGCGACTTCATGCGGGACAAGTATCGGTTCGTCGGCGTCGTCGCCGGAGGGGCGTTTTACGACGAACGGGGCGAAGAAACGGCCGTGTTGAGGGAGGTGCGAGAGAAATTGGAGACGTACGATCGCGAGGAGGCGCGCGCGAAGGAACGCGTGCGCATGTTTCCGGATTGCTCGAGCTCGTGGACCGCCGAAACGGGCGGCTTCGTCTGGTGCGACGGAGACGACGGAGTCGCCAGGTACCCGCGAAACGAGACCACGCCGTCGTCGAGCGGTGAGATCAGCGCCCGATGCGCGTGTTTTCCCGATCTCGCCGATACGAGCGCGCGATCCAAGTACGCGGGGTGCGCGTTGACCGCCTCTCGATGTCGAGTGTCGCCTCCCGAACCAACCTCGAGTTGACCGTCGCGCCTCGCCGCACTATCGCGCGCGCTTCGGCGTCGCGCGTCGCCTCCGTAGACGGTCGAACGCGCGTCGTCGGCGCATGCGCGCGCTCGCGCTCGCGCACACGCACAGAGCGCGCGTTCAGCGTCCGTCAACGGCGAAGAATCGCCAGAGTCAGAGCGTTGGAACGAATTCTTTCACGAGAGCGAGGCGAACGACTTGTCAGGCTTCATCGTGGGTGATCGTCGACGTCCGGAGCGAGCGAAAGATGGGGAACAAGGCGCGGTTGACGTGTGAGCGATGCGCGGTGGCGTTCAAGAAGACGAGCGGCGGGTCGGTGAGATTTTGTAAGACGTGCGCGGCGACGGCTGGAGCGCTCGAGTCGGCGGACGACGGCGCGTTGATCGGATTTGCTCGCGATGACGTCGTCGGTGGTTGCGCAGACGAAAACAACGACGAGTCCATGCGTCGCGCCGCGCGCGTTGGCGCCGGTGGCGTCGGAAAAAAGAAGAAAAAGGCGAAGAAGAAGGCGGCGAGCGGGCCAAACGTGAGGTCGGATCCTATGTGTTTGGAGATTTTGGATCGACTTGACGCGTCGTGCGTGCTAATCGACGACACTAACGCAGATACGGTGCTGAAGACGTGCGTGGAGGCGATGCGAGAGGCGGACGTCGTTGCAGTAGACTGTGAAGGTGTCATGATGTCTCGCACGGGACCCATCACGGTGCTCCAGTGCGCGACGCGAGATAAAATTTATTTGATCGATATCCAAGCTCTTGGCGTTAAGGCGTTCGGCGCGCGCGGCTCTGGTGGGATGCGCGATCTACTGGAATCTCGCGAAGCGCCGTTGAAGCTGATGTTCGATTGTAGGATGGATTCAGACGCTCTGTTTCATCAGTACGACGTGCGGTTGGAAAACGTCATGGACGTCCAAATCTTAGATTTGGCAACCAGAAGAGCGCTCGGGCTGATGATCGATCGCGTGGCGGGAATCGCAAAGTGCACGGACAAACATCTCACCGAAGCCGAGACCGCGGTCGCGGCCGATCTGAAGGTGCGAGTGAGGAAGCTGTACGCAGTGGAGGAGTCTCAGCTGTGGGCGGAACGACCGCTAACCGAGGATGCGCGTCGATACGCCGCCCTCGACGTGTGGTTGCTCATCAAACTGTACGATAAAATGAAGTTCGACCTGAGAGACGATAAAGATGATTGGACCTCTCGCTCGCTCAAGGAGTCAGCCCGGCGCGTCTTGGAATTCAGAGAGCTTGAGGTCGCGATTCGCCAGGGAGTCTTTACGGAAGAATCGACGGTGGCGCCGACGTTTTGATAGGTAAGCAACTCTGACAGTCGCACGCGTGATTTCTCGATGTTCCGATGATGTCTTCAAAGCTTAATCTTTGCTGACCATCCTCATGAAGATGACTAATGACAAAACGACTGAGGAACGTTGACGTGTGAGACGGGCACATTCGACACGTGACACTTGACTGACCATTGTTCCTCACGACACGAATTGCAGAAGAAATAGAATGAATAATTGGTAATACAATTGAGTGTACTATAGTCTAACGCCAGTTCTTCTTGCTCACGTCCACCTTGCTTACGCCCGATGCGAGCGAAACGCGAGTGGAGATGCGACCCAACTTGACGGTGATTTCATTTGTCTCTGGGAAGACGTCTATGACCTCGGCTTCGGTGGTTCCGAGTTTCCTGACGATGACCAACTCGCCAACAGAGGGGAACCATTGTGCCGATGCGCCGTCTGCCGCGTCTTCTGGCACCGCATCGCCGTTGGCGCCCAAGGTCCAACCTCTGGGAAGATGACCGCGAGTCACTTCGTCCACCTCCTGGACCGTCGCGCACGCGGCGAACAACTCGCGAGCTTCGCCGAGCGTCGATTCGACCGCCGCATCGGCATCCGCCTTCATAATTTGTTTTCGAAGATCTAAATATGCCGATTCCGACATGACCTCATCGTAGAGAGCTCGTGCTTCCTTCAGTCCGTACGATGCCTCTAAGCGTCTCGCCAGTTGTACCTCGCACTCCTTATCCAGCGCGCTCGCAAGTTGCGCTCGTTTCTCTCGAGCGATAGCCCCGTTCGCGTCCGTTTCCGTGCTTGCATCTGATTTCGCAAGTGCTTCGCGCGCCTCGGCGATTATGGATGGAGAAAGACCGAGTCCAGCGGCGATGTGAAGTGCGTTGCTCTGTCCGGTTTCGCCCCAGAGCAATCGATAAGTCGGCTGAAGCGTGCCCATGTCAAACTCAACCGCCGCGACTTGGGCGACGGGAGACGCCAGTGCGTTCTCTTTCACATTTTCGTAGTGTGACGTGGCCACCGTCAGGCGTGACTCGCGGGAGAGTTTATTAAGTACCGCAACGGCGAGGGCCGCGCCCTCCGCAGGGTCGGTTCCGCTTCCTGGCTCATCGAGCAACACCAACGTCTCCTCGTTCGCCGCATCGAGTATGCGCTGTAGCGACTTCAAGTGCGCACCGAACGTCGATAAACCACCGTCGAGCTGAAGCGTCTGCGAATCACCCAAATCCACGACGACGTCGCGGAAGAAGGGAATTTCGCACCCGGGCTCGCACGGCACGTACATGCCCGCGCGGGCCATCAAACATGCCACGCCCATCGCCTTCAATGACGCCGTCTTGCCTCCCGTATTCGGACCAGTAATGGCGACGCATCGCACGGAGTCATCGACGATGAAGTCGATCGGCACAACAATGTCGCTCACTTCGTGTCGACTCGCCGAGTGCGACGGCGCTGGCGCGTCTTCGTCCGCGTTCGAATTGCTCGGCTGCTCGCCAAAGGCGGAGACAATGTCTTCGGCATCGACGGCGGGCGTCCTCGGGAGCGGCGCGAGGTGACTCTCGAGCAACAACGGATGCTGTAGTTTAGTCATCGATATCCCTCGATCGGCGCTCACGATGGTGGGCGCGGAGCCGTCAATCCACCGCGCATGCTTCGCCCGAGCGCTCGCGATATCCAATTCGGTCAACGCGTCGTTCGCCGCGAGAAACGCCTCAGCGTGCTCACCGACGACGGCTGATATTTCCATGAGAATTCTCTCGATCTCAGTCTCCTCGCTCGCCGCGAGCGTGGCCAGAGCGTTGTTCAGAGGAACCGCGCTCTGCGGCTCTTTGAAAACTGTGTTCCCAGTGCCGGAGACGTCAAGAACCACTCCAGGAAGCTCCCCGGCGCTTCCGAGCTTCATCGGAATGCACTGCCGACCCATTCTCGTCACCACTTGCGCCCGCTCAGCGAGTTTCTTCCTCGCCATCTCTCGACTCGTCTCCGTCAACAGCGTCCTGAGCTCGTCTCTCGTCGCTCGCTGCTCGTCCCGAATCGCTCTGAGTGCTGGCGTCGCGTCGTCGAGCACCTCCCCACCCGGGATCGCCAAGCATCGCTCGATCGCCTCGATCACCGCTTGCGGTGTCGCACACAGCGCTCGCTCGATATCGCCCAACCGCTCGTCTCCGACCGCGCGTAACTCTTCCCCTAACCTCCGCTGCGCTCTCGCCGCCGACCCGAGCGCTCCGAGCGCCTTGGCGCTCAGCGTCTTCCCTTCCGCCGCACCCCGCGTCGCCGTTCGTCCATCCCGAGCGCCCACGAAATCAAATCCATCGTTACGATCCCTCTCGAATCGCTCCACGCACGCCGTCGTGCGCTCGAGCGCCAATCGCGCGTCGTTCGCCGTCTCCGCCGGCGCCGCCGCGCGCAGCGCGCGCCGCCCCCTCGTCGTCCGCCCGAACGCCGCCGCCTGCGCGCGCACCTCCGCCCACTGCAGCGCGAGCAACGCGTCGTCGTTCGCCGTCGTCGACGCCTCGCTCGTCGCGCGCGCGTGTTCGCCGTCGTTCGCGAGCGACGTGACGTCGGTCGTCGACGTTCGCTCGCTCGCACCGTTCGCTCGCGCCAAGCGCGCCGCGCGCGACGACCGCGCGCGCCGCGACGACGTCCACCGCCGCGCCCGCGTCGCCGTCGCGCGCGAGGACGGAGAGACGCGCGGAGAGACGCCCGCGCGCGACATGCGCGTCGAGCGCGTCAGAGTGACGCGCGTCGTCTCCAGCGTCCTCTCTCCCGCGCCGCGCGCGTCGCGACGGGCGCGACGCGACGCGAGGGACGGTGCGTCGAGCCCGCGCGCGCGTGACGTCGCGCGCGCGGCGCGCGCGGCGCGCGCGGGACGCGTGGATGTCCGCGGGCTCGACGTGCGCACTGTAAATGTCGACGACGCCGACGACGCCGCCGCTGGGCGACGCGTGCGCGATCGACGACGCGTTCGATGGATTGCGCGATGTCATCGCGTCCACGTCGGTCGCGGCGCGCGAGGCGATCGAGCGATGCGTCGAGCTCGGCGCGCGGGGCGACGCGGGCGTCTCGGCGCGAGCGAGCGAGCGGCGGAACGCGCGGTGTTACCCGGGAAGATTGGATTTCGGTCGGGTGTGGGTGGACGACGACGGGCGATCGACGACGAGAAGGTCACGGACGGTGTTCGTGACGAACGTCTCGAGGGTGCCGTCGGAGGACGCGATCGTGCTGGGGGCGTGGTGCGAGCCGAAAGCGGCGGAGTTTCGCTTGGCGGACGCGCCGGGTCCTGAAACTGGATACGTCGTGACGCTTCCGGGTGGAAACGGGCGAACGACGCAAGAACCGCATCCGTTGAGGTTGGAGTTCGACGCGCGGGCTCGGAAGGAGCGCGGGAGCGCGTTCGTGGGGACGTTCGTCTTGGTCGCCGTCGCTTCGAGGGAAAAGGTCAACGCGATTTTAGCGCGAAAGACATCCGTGCGAGAGGCGATCGAGGAGATTGCAAAGCTCGTTGAAGTGCACGCGTCGCAGGCGCACGCGTTCGTTTCGAGAGGGAATACGATTGACACCGTGTTAGACGTCGATGCGGTGCCATTTTATCCAGCGGCTCTCCGGAACCTGTTCAACTCGAGCGAGCAGATGTTTCCGATGCATCAAGCGTGGCGTGTGCGAAACGTCGACCCAAGAGGGGACGAATTCGTCGTGCGCGTGCGCAAGGCGCAACGATTCACGGATTCGGAGACCGGTCATGACTTCGTCGTTGATGAGTTGAGCCGATGGTCGGGACTCTTAAAGCGCGAGCGCCGAGCACAACAAAAGCACATTGAAGAGCTGGACATGTTTCACGCCGAACTGACGCTCGCTCCACCAAACGACGTGGCACTAGCGAAATCACCCGACTCGAAAACGAGTTTGCGGGATTCGCTGTATTATCTCGAAGTCCCCGGATTGGCGGAGCAGAGGCCGTTGGTGCTCGCGGGAGATCGCGTGTTCACTCGGGTCGCTCAAAACATCGCAATCGAAATCCCGCTGACGGTGCAGCATGTGGACACGCGTCGCTCACGATTGTATTTCGTCGCGCCTGGTCTTGCGTATCTCCGTAATCGTGGCATCATACGCGTGCACGTGCGATTCACACTTAATCTGGTTGTGTTCAAGATGTTTCACAGCGCGATCGAGCGCGTGCTTCTTCACGATCACAATCTTCACCGCTTCCTTCCGAGCTCAATCACGAGAAAGTGCCAAGCACACTTACAGACGCCAGTGAGACAAACTTCCGGAGCTACGACTCCCCTGAACGACCATGATGAAAGTGACGTGTCCGATGTCCTCAATGAAGAACAGGCACGTGTCGTGCGGGACATTCTCCGCGGCGCTGGAAGGTCTGCTCCTTACATCGTGTGGGGACCTCCAGGCACTGGGAAAACTCTCACGATAGTCGAATGTGTCGCGCACGTTCTGGAAAAAGATTCGAGCGCTCGAATATTGCTCGCAGCGCCCGCGGCGTTCGCCGCCGACATTCTTTGTTCCCGCCTCGCGGAACGCATCAACTTCAAGGACGCTCTGAGTGAGCTCGTGCGTGTGAACGATGAACGACGTACACCCGAATCAGTCAAGGCGGATGTTCGTATGTTTTGTCTGGACTACGCCCACACGTCTACTGCGAAGTCGGGCGCCGCGCCTTTCAACTTCTTTCGAGTCCCGAGTGAAAATGATTTGGCGCAGGCGCGAGTGGTTATATGCACGTGCACGAGCGCGGACCTTCTAACGAATCGCTTTCGACCGACGCACATTTTCGTCGACGAAGCGGCGCAAGCGCTTGTTCCAGAGACGTTCATACCTCTCTCGCTCGCCGGAAAGGAAACTAGCGTGATTCTTGCCGGTGACAGCAAACAACTGGGCCCGGTCGTACATGATAAAGTCGCCGCAAGAGACGGCTTGAATAAGTCGCTTCTGGAAATGTGGATGGATCAGTCAGGCGTTTCTCATGGAACGCAGCTGCGGGCGTGTTATCGCTCGCACGCCGACATTGTGCAGTTGCCGTCGCGCTTGTTCTACGACGGTTCGGTAGTCTCACGCGCGTCGGAAGAGAACATCGCGTTACCCGATAAGTGGGACGAGTTCGCACATGGCGCCGGTAACGGCCGAGCCGCACGATTCCTCTTCTACGGCGTCAAGGGTCGGCAGCGAAGAGAAGGCAATACGACGTCGTGGACAAACCCCGTCGAGGCGGCTGAGCTCGTCGATTTGTTGGTCAGTTTGCTCAAAACTACCACGCTCACAACTGCGGACGTCGCCGTGATGGCGACGTATCGCCGACAGGTGATGCTCATTCGCATGGCCCTGCGCGAGCGCGGGCTCGGCGCCATTCGCGTCGGAACGGTTGACGATTACCAAGGACAGGAGGAAAAAATCGTCTTCATCTCAACTGTGGTCACAAGACCGACCACGCTGAACGCACTGGATCCCGAAGTGGGATTCCTGAATAACCCAAAGAGATTCAACGTTGCCATATCGCGCGCGATGGCGCTGAACGTCATCGTCGGGCATCCGTTGGTTCTCCTGACCAACCCATTATGGAGCGAGCTCCTTCGAGACTGTGTTCGCCGCGACGCCTTCAGAGGCGCCGGAGCCGAGTATTTGCCTCGTTGGGCCGGTGGTGGCGGCAATGATGACGCGGGCGATCTCCCCGGTCACGACGACGACGGCGACATCGCCTCTGCAGTCGCTTCCATAGCCTCTCTTGCTCTACTCGGCTCTGGCGCCGCGGAATCCATGGAATCCGCCGACGACCACGCGTGGGACGATTTTGGCGACCAACCGAGCTGGCGCGTCGCCATCTGATTCGTACGCACATAGTGTCCCCCGACTCATTACCTTTAGCAAGCCTTTGTCACGAAGCGCACGCATCGCATTCGACGACGCTTTAAAGTCCTCCGCGCCGACGCCACCCGCACGCCGTCTGCGCTGAAATCGCTCAGCGGAACCGCACACATCGACGCACGTCGTCGTCGTCATTGACACGCCTCGGGACCATCGAACGAGTCCACTGAAAGTCTTTGCCGTTCGTGAGACGTCCGAGGCGCGTCGTACGCGACAAAATCGTTGCCGCCGCCGCGATGCAAACCACCGACGGCTCGGACGATGATTTCGTCTACGACGACCCGGACGTGCGCTACGACACCGACGTCGCGCTCGAAGCCTTACGAGTCTTCGTAAAGTCCGCCCTAGATGGGTCGTCGGAGAGCACGTCGCGGTACTACGAGTTGTTGGACGCGTGCGGGCGAGCGACGACGTCGACGGACGAGGCGGACGGCGCCGCGGCGTTGTTAGACGCCCTTAGTGGGCACGCGACGATGATCGACGAGCGGAAGCACGAGCAGTTGGTTTCCATGGCGTTGTTAAAGGTTGATCTGTGGGCGTGTGAGGTCGGTGTGCGTGCGATGGTGTTGAAGTTTGCGACGCAGTTGGTGTGCGCGCAGGGTGGCGCGTTCATTGGAGCCGTAGTCGGGAAGTTGGTCGAGTCATTTAACGCGCCTTTCGGACGCGAACAATGGTGGAAAATCGACGAAAGCGATGATGGGGGCGACGGGGCGGCTTTGGCGCACGTGCAAGCGGGAGAGGTCGTGATCAGAGATCTCACGCGGTGTTTAGGGAACATTTTGAGGTTGGTACCGCAGAGCTCGCGAGCGGTGACACATGCGCTGAGAGAGGGTGTTCCGCATAAGAGCGCGCCGAAGGAAGTGCAGATTGGATTCATTCGCGCAGCTTTGATCTTAATCGAGAGCGCGGATGGCGTCGTGCTGCGGGATGATTTCTTAAAGGTCATCGTCGGGCACCTGCTTGAGGTTGACGTGGAGATCAAGTGGGACGATGTCGTGGCGGGCGTGACGAGCGGCGAGCGAGGGGATGGACACGAGGAAGAAGAGGACGACGACGCGATATTCGAGCTAGATGACATCGAGAAGTCAATCGAGGAGCAGTGCCGTGCGGAATGGGAGCAGAGACCGACGACTTCGGCGCCGCTTGCGGTGGACGAAGCCGCCGACACACTCGACGCACTCATGGAGCTCACGTTAGCGCACGTCAATAAGCGCATGGACGACGGAGAGATGATGCTCGTGCGACGGGCGTTGATGCACGCATTCAAGGTCACGCTACTTCCCGCGCCGAGATCAAAATTCGTGCAATTTTTAGTGTTTCATATGTGCTCTAGAGACGAACAGGCCTGTCGAGAGTTGACAGAGGAACTCTTCACGACACTTACCGATGTTTCCGCGGCGGGATCGCTTCGACTCGCCGCGGCGGCGTATTTCGCCTCGTTTCTGGCTCGCGCGAAGCATCTCACGCCGGATTTCGTGTGCGACATGCTGAAGCGCTTAGTGGATTGGTGCGCGTCGCACGTGAAGCAAAAGACTACGCCGGGAAGCGCCGCGCTGAGTGGGGCGCAGGAAAAGACAGTGGTGGGTATGCCGCCGCCGGAACCGCACCAGACGTTAGCCGTATTTGATAGCGCGTGCCAAGCGATGATGTACGTGTTGTGCTACCGCGCCGAGGACATCCTTCACACAGAAGGTTCCGCCGCAATGACCCTGCGGACATTGCCTCTGTGCGAGGTTTTGTACTCGCACTTGCGACCGCTGCACACATGCTTGCCGTCCGTCGTGACGGAGTTCCTCCATCGAGCCGTCGCTGCTGGTATGCATGGTTTCACTGGTGATCTTCTTCGAGAGCACATGGATCGCGTCGCGACAGGACGCGAGACGGATGTGTCTTCCATGCAACCTCTCTCGAGACAACCGTCGATGGAGTTCACGAGCAAGCAAGTATCGACGACGTCTCGCAACCGGTTCCCACTTCGAATGTTCTTTCCGTTCGATCCGTACTTACTCAGACGCAGTGCCGAGCTGCTACGGTTACACGAAACGTACGTGTTTTGGACTGGAAGTGAGGCAGACAGACCGGTGGGGAGCGAAGACGACGATATGCAGCTCTCGAGCCAATCCGAATCCGAGTCCGAATCATCGTCAGAAGAGGACGACCCACTGAACGCTTCGTTGAGCAGCCGATCCGGGGTGAGCGATCAGGCTAGGAGTTTTGGCGTTGGCTCGCTGAATACTCGACCGCGAAAGAAACTGTTCCTGGGACTGAGGCAGCCGAGACCGTTGTTTGGTCGCCGCGACGGTTCACCGCACTCGCCAAAAGGCGCGAGTGGTCCGTCACCATCACCGGGAGCCGCCAATGGGTTCGCCGCTATGGCCGCGCGATACCGCCAAAGAGGTGGAGGGGGCGATCCGGAAAGTGTTAGTCCGCACGAGTTTCCGCCACCGCGGAACATCGCAAAGGTCAGCACTCCGCCGAGAGTGACCTCGTTCCGCGTCAAGGAGCGAGAAAGTTAGGAGAGGCAAATGTTGTAAGAACGATTCTTATTTTTCACCACGACGATGTTTTATTCATCTGCGCCCATTCTTGGGTAACAAGAAGCCTATGACGGCGCCTAGGACGCCCGCGGCGACCACGCGCATGCCGTCCTTCATGCGCGCCGTCTCGGCGTGGATCATCTCGCAGAGCGCGCCGCATTTATCGGCGTCGGCATCTTCGAGCGCATCGAAGAGAGACCCAGTGATGCGCATCGATGGTACACCGTACGTCACTTGTGGATCGATGCTCCACGCCTTGACGCTATCTTCTGAGATTCCCGCGTCCAAGAGCGCCGCGCCGAAAGCCGTTTCCGCGAACGGCATTCCCAACCAATTGTTCATCTCAGCGCACGCCTCGAAAGGGCTCGCGCTCGCGTGCACGCCATTCTCACCAGTCGTTGGCTGCATTTTCAGCCCGAGAGCTTCCCAGTCGTTATAAATGATCCCTCGGAGCGACGTCTCCGGCGCCTTGGACGGTTCGGTGGGCCCCAAGAGCTCGCCACGGAATTCCTCCCAAGACATCTTCGCGCTGTCCCACTCCACGACGTAATAGTGAATGCACGTCCCGGGCTTCACGAACTTCGATCGCATCGTCATGTAAAACCCGTTGAACACGTAGCAATCCTTAATCTTTGCGCAATAAAAACCACCGCCGAGCTTGGTCATCTTCCCGTCCTGCTTGGCTTGCTGCCACACCTGGTCCAGCTGCGTCGGCGTCATCTTCCATTTCTCGCACGCCTTCTTACTGTTCATCGCTAACCCCTTCGCGCACACATCGCTCCACTCCACGCCATACGCCTTTCGAAATTTATCGTTCGGCACGCTCAGATTCTCCGCCTCGACCAGCGTCGCCTTCGACGCAATCGCGTAGTAGTGTCTATCCACCAACCGCTCGTCGTCGATGCGTTCCGCGCTCACTTCCCCCTCTCTCGTGATCGCGCACCCGCGCTTGGATAACGTCTGGGACACCAAATCGAGCGTTTTCTCCGTCACCGCGTGCGGTTTCACGAACACGAACGCCTGGTTGAGCACCATTCTATCGCTCTTTCCGCGCTGCAAATGTTAAAAATTACCCGCGATCGAGCGATCCTCCGCTTCGGCGCGCACCCGGCGTCACGCGCGGCGCGCACGAGCGACGCGGACGATGACGACGATCGCGCGTCGCCGCGTGCGATCGCGCGCGCGGGGCGCGTCGAAGTGCGGCGTCGCGCGCGCGCGCGCGCGCCGACGATGCGATGTCTTCAAACGGCAGGCACGATGTTCAATAGTGTAACCATTTCAAAGCCATCACGTACATCAGGGTTTGCGCTACATAAAAATGTTATCCAAAGCCGAGCGATGACGTCGCCGCGAGTGCCTCGCCGCGTCTTCGTCGGCACTTCGCGCCTCGCCGTCGCGCGCGCGGGCGCACGAGGGCATCATGTACGCGTCGATCACTCAGCGCGCGTCGACCGCGATGGACGCGCGCGCGTTGCGAGCGCAGAAGACGCAGAGAGGTTCGACATCCTCGAGCCGACGCGCGGTGCGCGTCGTCGCCAAGGATTACCCGAAACCGGATAACATCGATAAGACGGAGAACTATCGCATCGCGGGTGATTTGTCCAAGCGATTCGCGAGCGATCTGCGGGTGCGCGATGGGGAGAAGAAGAAGGTGGCGATCGTCGGCGGCGGGTTATCCGGCTTGGCGTGCGCGAAGTATCTCGCCGAGGCTGGGCACGAACCGATCGTGCTCGAGGCGAGGGACGTGCTCGGGGGGAAGGTGAGCGCGTGGAAGGACAAGGATGGGGACTGGATCGAGACTGGGTTGCACATTTTCTTTGGCGCGTATCCGAACATGATGAACCTGTTCGCCGAGTTGGACATCGAGGACCGTTTGCAGTGGAAGGTACACAAGATGATCTTCGCCATGCAGGAGCTACCGGGGGAGTTCACGTCGTTTGATTTCATCAAGGGCATCCCGGCGCCGCTCAACTTTGGCCTGGCAATTTTGTTGAACCAAAAGATGTTGACGCTTCCGGAGAAGCTTCAGACGGCGCCGCCGCTATTGCCGATGCTCATTGAGGGTCAGGATTTCATCGATAAGCAAGACGAGCTCAGCGTACAGCAGTTCATGCGTAAGTACGGCATGCCCGAGCGCATCAACGAGGAGGTTTTCATCTCTATGGCCAAGGCTTTGGATTTCATTGATCCGGACAAGCTCTCGATGACTGTCGTGCTCACGGCGATGAACCGCTTCTTGAACGAGACGGACGGTTTGCAAATGGCTTTCCTCGACGGCAACCAACCCGACCGCCTTTGCGCGCCGATGGTTGAATCCATCACGAAGAATGGGGGCTCGGTCATGACGAAGCAACGCCTCAAGGAGTTCGTGCTCAACGAAGACGGTTCTGTCAAGCACCTCGCGATGGCCAACGGCGACATCGTGGAGGCTGACGAATACATCTCCGCCATGCCGGTCGACGTCATGAAGCGCATGATGCCGAAGAAGTGGGGTGAGATCCCACACTTTGCCCAGCTCAAGGAACTCGAGGGTATCCCGGTGATTAACATTCACCTTTGGTTCGATCGCAAGCTCAAGAATGTCGATCACCTCTGCTTCTCCCGCTCGCCGCTGCTCTCGGTGTACGCCGACATGAGCACGACGTGCAAGGAATACTATGACGAAGAAAAGTCCATGCTTGAACTTGTCTTCGCTCCGTGCTCGCCGATCGCGGGCGGTAAGACGAACTGGATCGCAAAGAGCAATCAAGAAATCGTTGACGCGACGATGCTCGAGCTTGAACGTTTGTTCCCGCTCGAAATCGGTCCCAAGTCTCCGGACGGTGTCGGTGCGAGACTGCTCAAGCACGCCGTCGTTAAGACTCCGCGATCTGTGTACGCGGCAATCCCAGGTCGTAACAAGTTCCGTCCGTCTCAGGAGACGCCCATCAAGAACTTCACTCTTGCGGGCGACTACACGTCGCAGAAATTCTTGGGGTCCATGGAAGGCGCTGTGTTGGCTGGTAAGCTCGCCGCGGAAGTCGTAGCATCGCGGGCGAAGGGTAAGGCCACGCAAGGTTTGAAGCCGGTGCAACAGTCCATCATCAACGCGATCGGCCCTGTTAGCGAACCAGTCGGCGTCATCGGCGACACCGAGTTTGCGTTCGGCGGTGGTAAGGTTATGGAAGTGGCGGACGAGGCCGAACTCGAGAAGTTCGACGCCGAGCAATTAGTTAAGCTCGACGGCTGGACTGGCTCGAAGGAGAAGGCGGCGCGCGCGCGATAATTGCCGTTTTGTTTAATACTGATTCATCATTTTTCCACAACATGTACCGGTACAAATCGCCGCAAGGGCGCGTTTCACAAATCACTAATACACCAAGAACGTCTCATCTTCGCAGTACGAAAGTGCGAGTGCGGTGCCCGCTTCCGTCGGCTGTGTGAACGCGCACTCCTTCGCGTCGACGACGTATCCAACGACGAGATGCGCTCGCATGGAGTTTAACATCGCTCGCGCGTAACCGCGCCGTCTAGCGCTCGCGTGCGTCCATATCGCCCTAACGCCGCACAAAGCGCGCTCGGGTTTATTCCCGTGCGCTACAACCGTCCCATCCGTGGCGTTCGAGGATAGCTTCGCCCCCGGGAGCGTTCGATACGCCTCGCTCACTTTTTCTGCGAAGAGCGCTCCGACGACTCGATTACCCTTCTTCACCACGCACACGAACGCCTTCAACGCCCCCGTTGCGTTTTCGCAAATCCAATTTTCTGGCATACAGAGCTCACGCTCAATCCCTCGCGCAATGCGAGCCATCGCACCCTTCGATGCCTTACTCGCGACGTCGAGTGCGACACATCGCACGTCGCTGTTTTCGCTCTCCCAAACCACCTTTTGCCCATCCGCCGGTTTCAACGTCATCCCACCCACCCCACCGCTCGAGAGACCGTTCACGAAATTCGCGTGATAGCGCACATGCGCCTTCTCATCCGCCGGATCGCCCTTGGCGTACAAGAATCCGCACCGCGCGCACGTCTCGTGCCGCATCGAAGCTTGTCCTAAATCAAGACACATCTGCGTCCGCTTCTTTCCGTTCGCGCTCGCACCCTCCGACACCTTCTGCGCGCGCACATCACCGTCGCCCTCACCCTCGTCGCCCTCGTCTACGCCTTTGATCGATCCCGCCGTCGTCGTCGTCGTCGTCGTCGCGCGCGCGCGCTTCCTTCGCCCGTACGTCGCCACCACCACCGGCCTCCGTCCCGAGTCGTCCTCTTCACCTCCAGACGTCAACGACTCGCCCGCGCGCGCGCGCTCGGCGCCGTCGGCGGCCTCGTCGCGTCGCGGCGTCGCCGTACGATTTGAATAATCATCGTCCACATCATCCCTCCCGCGCCCCCGCTCGCCTACCCTCGCGCTCGCGCCCACCGCGCTCGTCCGTCTGGCGAACAACTCGAGCACGCGCGACATCGCGTCCGTCGCGTCGCCCTCGACGCGCGCGGTCGTCGACGCGCGGTCGCGCACTGGCGCTCGGTCGACCCGCGACTGAACCGCACTTCGCCGCGCGCACGTGCGTCGACGCGGGCGAACGAACACGCGCCGGTACGCGCGCGAACGCGCCCTCGACGCGCGCGCGGCGTCGCGAACGCGCGAACGAGACGCGCGCGAGAGACGGGCGACGATGGGATTCGAGGGTCGATCGCTCGACGTCGCGCAAAACGAAGCCTCGCGCGCGCCGTGCGCCGCCGACCACGTCCGATGACGAGCGCACATCATACTTTCGTTCTTCCGAAGAGCCCATGCGCTTTGTGGAACGCGTGATCACCTTGGAGAACCGAGGACGGAGGTCGAGCGGCGACGCGGACGATCGCGGCGAGTGCGCGAACGCGCGAAGACGACGCCCGAACGCTCCTGTTGATGAGAGACCTTTGTTTGGAGACCTGATCGGACACGAATTCGTGGTGTCGAGAAAACATTGGAGACCTGAACTGAGGGAGTCGTTCGAGCGCGTCGACGCGGGAACGCGGGCGCGTCGCGCGCGGGGGGAACCCGGGCGGGTTTTAGTTTTCAGAGCTCGATGACTGACGCGAAGACGACGCGATTGGTTTTTCGCCATGGACGCAGGCGAACGCGAACGTAGATGGGGGTGTTTTTTAGTCGGCTGTTTTCGTACTTCGGCGATCGTGAGGCGAGGATCTTGGTGCTCGGGTTGGACAACGCCGGGAAGACGACCATTCTGTATAGGTTACAGGTGGGCACGGTGGTGAGCACGATCCCCACGATCGGCTTCAACGTGGAAACGGTGACGCATAAGAATGTGAAGTTTCAGGTTTGGGATCTGGGCGGGCAGACGTCGCTACGACCGTATTGGAGGTGTTATTATCCGAACACGCAAGCGATCATTTACGTCGTCGATAGCTCAGACGTCGAGCGCGTGGGAACGTCCAGCGAGGAGTTCCACGCCATCCTAGAAGAAGAAGAGCTCAAGGACGCGATCTTACTGGTGTATGCGAACAAGCAAGATCTCCCCGGGGCGCTCACCGACGCCGAGATCACCGAACAGCTCGGTCTGAGTTCGATTAAGAACCGCACGTGGGCCATCTTCAAGTGCAGCGCGCTCGAGGGCAAGGGCCTGTTTGAGGGACTCGACTGGCTCGCCGACGCGTGCGCCGCGAAGCGCGTCTAACTTTAGCTTTATTGTATCATCACCCACCACCATTGTTAGCGCACACGATCCCGCGGTCCTCTCTCGCCGCGCTCGACGGCGCTCGCCGCCTTCATCCGCACTCGCCGCCTCGGGGCGAACCGCCGAGCGCGGACCGCGTCGTCATGCGCGACGCCTCCGACGACGAGGCCTCGGCGTCGTCCATCTCCGACGACGAGGCCTCGGCGTCGTCCTCGTCCGACGACGACGCCGTCGAGGCTTTCATCTCGCGCGAGACGAAGAAGAAGGAGCTTGAACTCTTTGAGCAACTTCTCACTCGCATTCGACGCGCGCGCGAGCGAGACGTGGACGAGATCCTCGGCGCGAGCGCTGAAGAACGCGCGCGCGATCCAGAGGGTCTGAGATGGGCGCCCGAGGCGGGGTTGGGGGCGGAGAGGGTGACGCGAAACGCGTCGCCGGCGTTCGGCGGACGCGGCTCGAGCGACGAGGACGTCGGACGCGTCGCTCGGTGGCCTCTGAAGCGATGCGGGAGGATTCGAGAGACGATTGATATTGATGCGGGAAATGCAATCGATGGGGAGGATCTGGTGACGGGGGCGTACGGGTACTCGATCGAGGAGCTGGAACGGTTGGAAAGCGCCGGGTTGATTCGTGAGCGAAGAGGTCCGGCGACGGCGTGCGAGCGGCACTTCAGGCGATGGGGTCGGGTGTGGGAGGGGACGATATCGATTCCAGGGTCTGGTGGAGACGACGAGTCGCCCTACGCGTTCCAGGTGTTGTGGTACGACGCCGTCGCGGGTCGGTATCTGATCTCGCACACGGCGCAGGGAGACGAACAACTGTGTCATTTGACGATGAACGATGACGGTGATGGGGAAACAATGTCCATATCGTACGCGGATAACGAGACGTATTGCTCGGGCACGATTCATCGCGACACCGGCGTGATCTCTGGAACCGTCGGACAGCTCGTGCGCGCGGAGGAGGGATTCTTTGAGCAGTCGGATTCGTCCCGAAACACGTTCACGCTGACGCCGGTTGATTTCGAGGGTGAGCGACCGACGACGTGCGAGACACAAGCGCAGATCGCTCGAGTGAAGCTACGCCATCATCTCGTCGCACAGTGGAGTCGGGGCGCCAATGTGCTTCCCGAGACGTACAGTGCGATACAACACGTCAAGGACCACATGCGAAGCGAGCACATGTGCGCGTACCTGTTACGAAAGATCTCGCACGAAACGCTATTGATGCGCATGGTATACGAGCCACTGACGGAAAAAGAGCGCGACTTAGAACGTAACCTCAAGTCTCACGATGTAGACGAAGAACCATCGATGATCCTGGAATTTGACGAGAGAGAGCGAGAAGTGGCGCGTATGCTCTGGGCGACGTTTCCAACGCCTGGGGTGCTCGACACTACGCTCGTCGGCCGCGAACGCGACTGGTGTCATATTTGGACGATGGAACGAATGAATGCAGAACTGTTGAGCTGCAAATTTCGAATGTACTCGCGAGTGTTGCGAGACCGAGAATTTCCGACGAGTGACTACAAGGAAAATTTTACCAATGAGTTCAAGACGTTGCGACACACGTGTCACATTGAGATGAACCGAGTCGTCAACAATATGAACCTGTTGCTATGGCGCATGTTCTACGGAAGTGAGGTTTCTAGGATCGAGCGACAGATATTGATTAAGAACATGGTGGGAATTTTGCGAGTCGAGGAGGCGCGCATGCTCATAGCGTACGAAAATGTCGACAAGGCGCTGCGCGAGTGCGATGCTCGCCTTCCATTGGACGCCATCGAACGGCGACTTTCCGTCGCCGCAGATGAGTCTTACACGTGCTCCATTTGTTTGCTCGAGATAGACAAAGGCGAAGAGGTCCTGACACTCGATTGTTCACACAGCTTTCACCCGCCGTGTTGTGCACAGTGGCTGCATGCGCACGCGACGTGTCCAAATTGCCGAACCATATTAACGTGAGTTCGTTCGTTCGCGCTGTAATCAAAACATGATTGTTATCAACATTACAAATGATGGATACGTTCGCATCACCGTAAACGCAACGACGTTGTTACATCTTAATTATTGTCCGTGGTGGTGACCGGTGGTCGTCTGAATCGCTATAGTTGGCCTCAGCTTGGAGATCGCGCCTGAGTTGCGTCGTCGCGCGTCTCAATCGCAAATATTGCGAACGAGCCGCCGCAGACTTCAACGTACTCTTGATTCGCACCACATTTTTGTCAATCGCTTCTTCATCGTCATCAGAGGACGTTTCGCCCTCTTCAACAGGAGGTAGACAAACAGTTATTTTCGCAGTAGATGTTGTGTTCGCATCCCTCATTCGCCGAGCACGCATGGCTGGGCGGCGCGTCGACAGATTCGTTCCCGAGGACCCATCGTCTTCATTCCGTGTTAACAATTCGCTCATTAACTCTTTCACGTCGCCCTGCCTCAGTTGACGACCGCGCCTCTTTCCAATTTGAGCGTGAAGCGCGGCGTTGACGTACTCGGGCGAGTTGACTTTGATGTCTCGGATTGTAGCGATCAAATTTTGGCGAGCACGCTCCGCACGTTTCACGATAAACGCGGCTTCAGTTTCGGAGTGGTCATTTTCCTCATCCATGATCGCGGCTTTCGATACCTTACGTCTGTGACGAGGACGAGACGTGACGAGGACCCGACCGGCGTCTTCGCTGTCGGATCCGTCTGACTCGTCGTCCAGAGTCGTCGGTCGAACATGGGTGATGTGAAGTTTGCGCATCGGTAACTTGCAAGTCTCCGTTGCCTTTGACACCCCTTTTGTGCGCAGATTCATCAGATCCAAAGCACTCGCGAGATTTGCTTCACTTATGTATGCAGCGATGCCCTCGTGGCCGCAATGAATGGCGAGCTCCGCTGGAGTAAGACGTTTTCCGTCCCACTCACAGATAACTCGAGACTTCGCACCAGAGTTGAGAAGGGTCGCCACAACCATTTCGTGACCGCGAGCGACCGCCCAGTGAAGAGCAGTGCGCTTGGATACGTCTGTGTGATTGATATCCACGCCGGTGGCGCACATCGCTCGAACAGCCCACTCGATGCCAAGAGCCGCACAACAATGAAATATTGTGAGCCCATGCTCATCTTTACGTGCGTACGCGCTCGGCGCGAGTGCGACGGTCATCAACGCATCAGTAACGTCTTGAGTTTGCTCGACTACTTCTTCTCGCACAAGTCCTGGATCCGTTTTCGCCACTTCTTCAACCTGCGACACGGCATTTGCAATTTTGGGGAGCGCAAGGCGAGCCTTCATGCGTCGGTTTTCATGGACGATGACCGATTTCAGTCGTGCCTGGAGCATATTCGTGAGAAGCTTCATCAGATCTTCGTTACCTACTCCTTCCAGGTTGTAAGGGTCCAAATCCATGCTCTGAGCCGCGCGCAACGCGCTCAGAGTGTTTAATTCCATCGTCGATCTGCTCACGGAATCAAACGTATTCACACGATCATCCAAGGCGCTTACACTCTTCGCGCCACTATCAGTTGGTGAATCGGGTGAACCCGATCTGAGAGTCGTGAGTAAGTGGACAAGACGGATTTGGAAGTTGCGATCGCTCATGTCGGCCTCTTCTTTGACATTCGTCTTTGCCCCTTGCCTCTTTCCTCGCTGATCATGCGCAGAATCGATGTACTCAAATGAAGATATCTCACTCACGGGATGGCCGTTCCCGTTTTCCATGGCTAGAAACATAGAAACAACTCCGGGTGAGTGAGGAGGCGCTTCACAACGCAATACATTCGGAGCGATCCACTCGGTGCGGACAGACGTGGTCCCGAATACGCAGCACATCGCGGAGTCGAATTCAACCCGCGGCTCGCCTGTGATGATCACTTTCGCTCCGCCGCTGATATCATCCCATGAAGGAGTAAAATCTATTATACTCCATAGCACGTGGACACCAGAAAGTGTCGCTGGGATCTGAAGCGGGACGCGCGACGACGAAGCTTGCCGTTGATTGTCCGAGTGCGCCGCGTCTGAACTTCGAACCGGTTCTTTATCAGCGCTTCCTTCATCACGACTCCCTAAAACTTTATTTGCTCCTTCTCCGCTCCCCGTATCCGTAGGCGCATCAACGCTATCCGCTCGCTGCTTCAATGAGTACTGCAGAGCCCTATCGAATTCGTTTTCAAGGGCGTTGATTTGCCGCTCGATGCGCTCCATCGACGTCGAATCTCTATCACCGCTGAATTGATCCTGCCACTGGGAACGAATTTTCTCAATGCGGCGCTCGAACTCCTCGAGCGTCAGACGACTGGTGACGCCGGACGGTGGCGTGTCGTGCGCCGGTGATAGAGTATCGTACTGGAAATCTTGCACGGAGTCATCCTCCGCCGAGTCCAGCGTACTGAACTCTGCGAAATCGTCCTCAGGAAACGTTCCCACGCTGTTTTCCAACTCTCGCATGAGCTGCGAGAACGACGCCACGGGAGCGTCGGTGAGATCATCTTTAACGTCATCGTCGAATTCGTCGTACCAATCGCCTCTCGCGTCGTCGCCTAGCAGTCCGGCTTCTCCGAAAATCTGCGCCAAATCTGCGTCGTCTCTCTCCAACATCTCGCTCATATTCTGCCTCGACTCGTCGTCCTGAACGACGTTGCGCAAAAATTTCTTCAATTTCCCACTTTCTTTCACTTTTCGTTTCTCCTTGATGGCCGCGATCGCCTTCTTTGACCCGACGACGTGCTTCCCTAACGCCCCCCCCTCCGCCGGCTTTGAGAGCAGCGGCCGCGTCGGCGCCGTCTTCACCCGCAAATAGTGCACCAACACCGCCCCCTCGTCCATGTTCAACAACCAATAACACCGTCGCTGAAACTTCGGATCATCCTCGCAGTGCGTGTAGTAGCAATTCAACAGCTCCACCGTCCCAACCTTTAGCTTTTCGTGCGTCTCTCGCACCGTCTTCCCATCCTTCTTCTTCTGCCAGTTATGTCCATCCTTTCGAAAGAACCGCACCGTTTTCCGATTTATCAGGTACAACGTCCCCGCGCTCGGCCGCACCGGCGCGTCGTTCGCGCATTCGAACCCGTACGCGTTATAATTCAACAACACGTCGCACACCTCGGTGTTTCGCAGCCATCGCGCGCGCGCGTGTTTCAGCGTCTCCACCGCCCGCTGTCGCATCGACGCCTCCCCACCCGCCGAGCCGGGTTCTCGCAGCGCCATCGCCCCGCCCCGCGCGGTCTCCTCCGTCACCGTCGTCGCCGTCGCCGTCGGTCGCGATCCTCGCCCTGATTTCGTTCGATCGCCCATCGCCCCCGTCGCCTGCGGTCCCAAACGCCGCGCGCGCGCGTCG